TACCACAGGTGTGAATTTCACAGTTAACCACTAGAAGAAACATGGTTACAGGTAAGCAACCTTACTTTCTTTGTTTTGTTGTAGTTCCAAGGAAGGGTGTGCATTGCTCTTCCTGCCATCCCAGAATGAACGTTCACGGTAAGTCCAATTTCTCATTCTTGGGATGGCATGTAAAAGCAATCCACTATGTTGGGGACTTTGTCAAGTCATCATTCTGAAAGGGAAAATCATTTTGATACTACAGATTGCAACATGGTGCATCAAAAAGCTGCTCATGTTGATTTATGTTGGTCCAACTTAACATTGTTTCACAAGCACAAAGTGCCAAACCATCCTGCAGCATTGCAAATACTCTGCAAGGACACAGAAAAATCTGTTGATTATGCCTATGGTCTTGCTGAATGAGGCCAAATACATTGATTTGCAATATGTATACCTTAATTCATCTCTTAGATAGAAAATACGTTATTAATTTGGTCTGTCCTCCTCAACTGACAGAAATTAGGTTTAATCAATAAAGCTACCAACTCCCAACACCCTTTTTGCATGTTATAGCAATTAAGAATGCCATCTTAAATGAAAACCAAGGTTTCCTTGGCCAGTATGGAGCAGTTAGCACCACTTATTCTCTCTTTACTGTCTTTTGAGAAGAACGTGCCGTATAACCGGTACAGGGGTTTATTCAAAACGTAAGTTAAAATGGTCATATTGTCTATCCAAATGTGTATGTTACATCTCTGAACCTGGACCCCCTGGTGGTGCAATGGGTTAAACCCTTGTGCCAGCGGGACTGGAGACCGAAAGGTTGGCGGTTCAAATCCAGGGACCGGGGTGAGCTCCTGTCTCAGCTCCAGCTTTCCATATGGGGACATGAGAGAAGCCTCCCACAGGATGATAAAACATCAAACATCCGGGTGTCCCCTGGGCAATGTCCTTGCAGACAGACAATTCTCTCACACCAGAAGCGACTTGCAGTTTCTCAAGTCACTCCTGACACGAAAAAAAACAAAACAAAACTCTGAACCTTATATAAATATCTTGGCCGTCCCAATCTCACAGCTTTAGCTCTAGTTGTAGTTGTAGTTTCTGTCTGAAACTGGCCATATATTCCTTGAGCTGACATAACCTGTGCCCTCCATTCTAACAAACTGGCTCTGTTGTCACTTTTATTTAGTCCACTCCAAATTAGTCAAAGGCACTGCAACTTCCAAGTTAGTCTTCTACCTTCATTGTAACTGTTTTCCTGCCAGTTGATCTCTGGTGAAGTATGCGTAATTTCTGAAGCTCTCTGCAGCGGAATCTTCCCCAGGGAACTAGTCCCTTCTTTCATTTTTTCAAATTTTCTGACCACAGCTAACCTAGGAAACTTCATTCTATAATAACAACAATTGTAATAATAATAATAATAATAATAATAATACTTTATTTTAAAAACGGCACCATCTCCTCGAGGGGACTAGGAGCGGCTTACAGCAATGTGAATAATACAACAATAAACAATAAAACAAATAATCAGTTTACATTAAATCAGCAAAAGTAACAACACAAAATTAATACAAGTTGAACCAAAACATATTAAATTACCACAAGCATCTTCCAAAAATAAACAGAAATTGTATTCTATAAAACCTTTGAGAAATAACCTATTGTGTCACCTATGAGAAATGAGATTGTATTACCAGAAAACTGCAGAATATATATATATATTTATAACCAGATGATTGCCCTTAATGTTTCCAATCAGTCAATTTATTTACTATTGGACATCATGCATTCCTGTCCAAACAGGACTGATACTTCAGTGGACTCTTTCCCAACTGCCTTTGCAATTCCTATAGGTCTGGTTAACTTAATCCAAGGCTTTTGGTGTTTGGATCACAATGACTATGAGGTAAGTGCATGAGATGAAATTTCTGTTTATTTGTAGAAATGTCTATGAAGGGGAAATAAAAACAAAGTAACATTTAAAGCTAACTTAGTCTGTAGACTGTTCACTCAAGATTTCAGTGGATCTTTTTTAATTTGGTGGAAGTCACAAGGCATCTGCTCTACTTATCAGTGTGCTGGTTTGAATGACTATGGTATAACATATTTTGAATTAATACATTGTTTAGGATCATAGAATAAGATGATACCACTTGTTGCTCTAGAATGCTACAGTGTGAAACATAGCTGTTACAGTGGCATGTTTTCACAACACAGCAACAGCAGATTATGTTGTGTAGTAGTGCAGAGAACATGGCGTAATGAGGGTGAATTTGGGAATTTAGCATCCAATTTCCAGATTATCTAGACTGGAGTCTTTTTGATATACCTTACTGGCATACCTCATGGCCACTCTGAGTCCCTTTTTGGGAGATGGGGGCAAGGTATAAAGAAAGTTTTATTGGGAGTGGCAGTAGAGGAAAGGGCCTAGGAGCAACAACTATGGTTGCTTGGAGCCAGTAGATTTTAACTGTCTTCCTTCCATCAATGCTGTTGTATGACTTTTTAAAAACACAGCCACTTGTGTAGTATTTTAATCCAACAGTATTCCAGCTATATTATCAAAGTTATGCATCTTAACACAAATTGTCAATTGTCGTGATCCAGGTGTGATAGTGGTACTATTGGACTATTAGTCAGTTGCAGTTCCATCAGCTTAAAAGTGAACAGGAATCTTAAACCAGAGAAAGGCAACGAAACCAGAAGTGGGAGGTAAATTTTTAATTGATCGTCCCTCCCAGCAGTCTTCTGAGATGCAATTCTCTAAAACTGGAAGTGACATGTCACTTCCAGTTTCAGCAAAAAACGGGCTGATGGTTGAAAGGAGTGAAAGGGTAGTATGCATGGCAGGAGGATTCATTCCAGCAAAACTGTAATTTCATAGTAATTTGTGATCCATTTTGGCTGATTCTAGGCTGATTTTTAGGGAGGTGTCCTTCAGGAGCCTTGATGATCACATAAACCCTCCACCACAATCTTAAGTAGTGTCACTTAAATGACTGTGAATTCATTATGATAATTTAAAGGTCTCTGCTCCCAATTCTTTTTCTTGCTTTAGGGTACACCTAGCCCTCCCAAATTACGTAATGTGTTATCCAGTTAGACTCCGATCCTACCCCCACAAATAGGTAATTGTTCTTAAATATCTACCACCTGATATTGCAGTCCATTAGTGCATCTAAAAAAATGGATTGAAGTCAGGAAAAGGTTGTTTGTTTTTTGTTTTTTTGCTGAAATTAATTACTTATCCTTAAAGGTTGTCTTTTTTTCCTTCTCCACCTTTTCCTTTCTATGATAGAGCAGACAAATATGGCTATCTTTCTGAGAAATAAAATATGTAGTCAGAAATATGTATTTGCCTTCACAAACAAATCAGTCACCTGATGGCTTTGGGACAATTATCCACCAGCCTGCCCAAGGATGTCTATCTTTGTCTGTGGAATTAGTGTATACTAGTTTTAGGGCAGTCACGTATTCAACTCTTTTAAACATTTTATTGGTTACAAGTTTTCTTGAATTGTCCAGACTCCCTACTTTTTATGGCTTGCTTCAGTACATTACTTTTATTTTAATACCGTTCTTAAGCACATGGATTCTACTTGAGCCAGGCTACAAAGACTTATATGCAGGGTACCCCAATCCCAAACTGGTAGTTGTAAAATTAGCCGATTGCATGACAGCCTGTTAGGTGTGAGGGTCTACACCAAGAGGGAAAGGCAGCAAGCCTGTGCAGTCACACCCATGCTGCTTTAAATGTCTCTTTAGCATTAATGTGTCCTAACTTCCCTGCTTCAGCAAGGAACCCCACAAAATCCATGTCCACGCAGATGAGATAGTGGTACTATTGGACTGTTAGTCAGTTGTAGTTCTGTCAGCTTAAAAGTGAACAGGAATCTTAAGCCAGAGAAAAACAACCAAACTGATCTTGGGTCTGTCTCCACCCAGGCATTAACTTGATTTCCCCACAACGAAGTCCATACTTGAAGGGTAACTGGATTGTTCCTGAAGCTGCCAGCCGTTGATGAGAAGAATAGATGAAAGTTTCCCTTGTTCGCTGTCTCTAGTATAGGGGCCTCTGGGGCGCCCAATGCCCAAGGCATTAATTACTTACTGTTTAACTAATAATTGCTTGAAATTGACTTAAAATGACTTGTCCAGGTCTGAATCTTGCTGGGACCCACTGCAGACACATCTTGCATCCAAGATTCTCTGGTGATAATCACTCTGATCTAAAATCATAGAATCATAGCTCCCTTTCTTTAGGCAAAGGGGCGGGCAAACTTACTGATACAAACCAGGAAGTGTTTTCTTAAGCTCCACCCTCATAAAACTAACATAAAAGTGACTACTCTAAAACTGAGGGTAAGGCATCCTGACAAAAGGAACTGGGACTTGTATCATTCCAGCACAAAGCCCTTATGTCTCATGGATCAATCCGAGTCCTCTCTGGTTAATAAAATGTATGTTGCCAGCATTGCCTGCACTCTAATTGCCACCTTGAACTTTTGCAGAATTCTCTGGCCTATCTGTTTCATCCAGCTACACTCAGATTGTCTTGGCAACACACAAGGATCATTCAAGCCTTAATGTGTCAAGGAGAGCACAAGCGAGCTCTCCGATACATACAAACAATGAAACCCTCCATGATGAGCAGCAGTGAAGTGATGCTTCATCTAACTATCTTGCTGTTTAACAGGTAAAGCGCAGCTAGCACATTTTTTCTCTGTTCCTTAAAATGCCATAAACAAAAATATTCCCACATTTAAACAAGAATAATATCTTATTTTGAAATTATTGTTCTTGGTTTTTGGTAGCATGTATTTGGCGATATTTCCTAAACTCTTAGAACATTTTAGTACTTATTATAGTACAATTTCTATGTAGAAAATCTGCCACAGCTTTAATTTGCAATTCAACAATTGGTTTCAGTTGTATGGTGGAAGCTTGGAGTGTGTTGCGGCAACATTCTACTCGGTTGAACGTAGAGGAAATGCTCAAACATATATATGAAATCTGCCAGGAACTGGGACTAATGGAGGATCTGCTGAAGCTGCCTTTCACAGAAACTGAACAGGTAAGCGAAATATGCCTCTGATCCTAAAAATGTGATGGAAAACATTATATGGTTAGGGGACTTCAATGGGGTAATCGATCCAAAGATAGATAGGAACTTTAAAAGAAAAAAAGACTCTAAGGAAGGGAGACTCCCGGGTACCCTATTTGCAGACTTAAAACACTGGGATTTATATGACCTTTGGAGGATACAAAAGTTAGACAGAAGGGAATATTCATACTATGCTCATAGACATGGATCATCATCCACAATAGATTACATTTTTGCTACTAAAGAATTGGTAATTAAAACTGAGAAGGTGGAATTCCTTCCCAGAGTGTTTGCAGACCATAACCCGATGCTGTTACAATTAAAAGGGGGAATTTGGGAAAGGAAGCACTGGAGATTAAACGATTATATACTGAAAGATGAAAAAATTAAGGATAAGATCAGGTTAGGAATACAAAATTACATTAAAGAGAATAGTAACAAGGACATAGCGGAAAAGACAGTTTGGGATGCAGGAAAAGCGGTGGTAAGAGGTTTACTAATTCAACAACATGCTATTTGGTGTAAAAAAAGAAATAATAGGCAATTAGAGATGCTTACCAAAATTGGAGAGAAAGAAAAAGAATTAGAGAAGTCTAAGGGGGATAAGAAAAAAGCAAAACAAGAGCTAGCCAAAGTTCAGCAGCAATATGAATTATTTTTATCAAATGAATTAGAAAGGAAAATTATGTATAATAGGCATAAGTTTTTTGAAAATGCTAATAAATCGGGCAGGCTCTTGGCATGGCAAGTGAAAGATCATACGAAGAGACCAATAATAGCCAAGATAAGGCACAAAGGAGAGACAATCACAAACATAAGAAAAATTCAAAAAGTTTTTAAAGAGTATTATAGAAACCGCTATAAAAATAATCCAATAGATACTAAAAAAAATAGACCAATACTTAGCTGATATGAAGGTCACCAAACTCACAGAAGATATGAAATCAGATTTGGATAGACAAATCACATGGGAAGAATTGAAAACAGCTATTGATAAAGCTAAATTAAATAAAGCCCCAGGTCCAGATGGTTTCTCTGCTATGTTTTATAAGATGTATAAAGAAGAATTAGGCCCGTTATTGCTTTCTACGATGAATCAAGTGCTCCAAAAAGGAGAGATGCCTGAGTCCTGGGAGGAAGCTACAATAGTTCTTTTACCTAAACTAGACAGAGATTTTGAGCAAGTGAAGAATTATAGGCCAATTTCATTGGTCAATAACAATTATAAGTTATTCGCTGAAATTCTAGCAAACAGGTTGAAAAAAACCTTAACCAAAATAGTACATGGGGATCAAGCATGCTTCCTCCCAGGTAGGCATATGAGCCAAAATGTGAGAACAGTGATAGACATACTAGAATACGCTGAATAAGATCCAAGCAGAGAGATCACGTTTTTGTTTTTAGATGCTGAGAAAGCATTTGACAATGTGCAGTGGAACTATATGTTTAAAGTATTGGACCACTTCGGAGTAGGTCAATATTTCAGAAAGGCAATAGGAGCTATTTATTCAAGACAAAGAGCCAAATTAAAAATAAATGATCAAATGTCAAATTATATAGAAATTCAAAAAGGGACAAGACAAGGCTGTCCCTTGTCGCCCTTACTGTTCATTTGGATATTAGAAATTTTGAATAATAGAATTAGAGAATGGGTTGTTGTAGGTTTTTCCGGGCTATATGGCCATGTTCTGGAGGCAATTTTTCCTCCTGACACCTTTTGCCTGCATCTATGGCAAGCATCCTCAGAGGTAATGAGGTCTGTTGGAACTAGGAAAAATGGGTTTATATATCTGTGGAATGACCAGGGTGAGACAAAGGACTTTTGTTTGCTGGGGCTAGCTGTGAATGTTTCAGCTGATCACCTTGATTTGCATTCAATGGCTTGGAAGCCTGGGGGGAATCTTTTGTTGAGAGTGATTTTATGTGCCTGTTTGTTTCCCCTCTGTTGTTTTGCTGTTGTAATTTTGAGTTTTTTTAATACTGGTAGCCAGATTTTGTTCATTTTCATGGTTTCTTCCTTTCTGTTGAAATTGTCCACATGCTTGTGGATTTCAATGGCTTCTCTGTGTAGTCTGACATGGTGGTTGTGAGAGTGGTCCAGCATTTCTGTGTTCTCAAATGATATGCTGTGTCCAGGTTGGTTCATCAGGTGCTCTGCTATGGCTGACTTCTCTGGTTGAAGTAGTCTGCAGTGCCTTTCATGTTCCTTGATGTGTGTCTGGGCGCTGCGTTTGGTGGTCCCTATGTAGACTTGTCCACAGCTGCATGGTATACGGTAGACTCCTGCAGAGGTGAGAGGATCCCTCTTGTCTTTTGCTGAACGTAGCATTTGTTGGATTTTCTTGGTGGGTCTGTAAGTGGTTTGTATGTTGTGTTTCCTCATCAGTTTCCCTATGCGGTCAGTGGTTCCCTTGATGTATGGCAAGAACACTTTTCCTCTGGGTGGATCTTCATCTTTACGCTCGTGGTTTGTTCTCGGTTTTGCAGCTCTTCTGATGTCTGAGGTGGAGTATCCATTGGCCTGTAGAGCCCAGTTGAGGTGGTTCAGTTCATCTTGGAGGAGGTGGGGTTCGCAGATTCTTTTTGCACGGTCTGCCAAGGCTTTAATGGTGCTTCTTTTTTTGACTTGGGTGATGGTTGGAGTTTTTATGTAGATATCTATCTGTGTGTGTGGGTTTTCTGTAACGGTGTGACCCAATTGTTGATCTGGTTTGCGGATGACTAGGACATCTAGAAAAGGCAGTCTTCCTTCATTTTCTTTTTCCATGGTGAATTGGATGTTTGGGTGGATGCTGTTAAGATGGTCCAGGAACCTGTTGAGTTCTTCTTCTCCATGGCTCCAAATGGTGAAAGTGTCATCCACATATCTGAACCATATAGTGGGCTTTTTTGTTTTTGTTTCCAGGGCTTGTTTTTCAAAGTGTTCCATGTAGAAATTTGCTATGACCGGGCTGAGAGGGCTCCGCATAGCTACTCCATCTTTCTGTTCATAGAATTCATTGTCCTACTGAAAGTAGCTGGTGTGAGACAATGGTGAAACAGAGCTGTGATGTCTTCTGGGAACCTCTGGTTGATGAGTGCCATGGTGTCTGCTACCGGGACCATGGTAAATAGAGATACCACATCAAAGCTGATCAGTTTGTCGTTGGTATTTAGGTTGAGATTGCTGATTTTTTCAATGAAGTGGGCTGAGTCCTTGATGTAGTGTGTAGTGAGCCCAATATGGCTTTGTAACTGTGTTACAAAGAATTAGAGAAGTTAATGAAATTAAAGGATTTAAAGTAAAAGGGTATGAATTTAAAGGGAAGGCTTATGCAGATGATTTGGTCTGTTTTTTAAGGGAACCTTTAAGAAACATACATGCCTTAATGGAAATTATTAATGAATTTAGTGTTGTATCAGGGTTTAAAATTTACAAGGAGAAATCGGTATTTCTAACTAAGAACCTATCTAAAAGCAATATTGTTAAATTGGAGAATTTTACTAATTGTAAGGTAGTCCCCAAAGTAAAATATCTTGGACTATGGTTAAGTAACAAAAATACTAAACTTTACCAATATAATTATGACAAAATCTGGAAGGAGATAAAAAGGGATCTTGAAAATTGGCAAAGACTTCAACTCACCTGGTTAGGGAGGATAGCAGTGGTAAAAATGATAGTACTGCCCAAAATGTTGTTTTTGTTTCAAAACCTACCAGTTATTAAGGGAGTAAAGGTGTTTGGAATATGGAAACGAGATCTGGTCAAATTCATTTGGAAAGGTAAAAAAGCGAGAATTGCCTACAGGAATCTTATTGATGGGAAAAACAGAGGGGGCCTAGCACTGCCAGATCTCAGGTACTACTATGAAGCCGCACATTTCGCTGGCTAAAGGAATGGATTAAATTGGACAATAAGGAGTTGCTTAAGTTAGAGGGCCATAATTTAAGATACGGATGGCATGCCTATCTATGGGATTATAAGGACAGGGTGAACAAAGAATTTAACTGGCAAGAGCCAGCCTTTTAGCAACATGGAAAAAATACAAGAAGGGTATGGAACCAAAAAACCCCTATGGCTGTGCCCACTGGAAGCAGTCCAGAGACCGGCCACACATGCTGACTCCGGCACATTCAATAATTATCTAGTCAAAGAGAAAGGGCAATGGATACTTAAAAGCAGAGAAGAATCTGGGTTAAAAGACTGGTTCAGTTTTTTCCAACTACATGACAGATTTAGGAAGGATGCAAAAGTAAGATTTGCCTCTAATAAATCAGAGTTAGAAAGTATCTTCGAGAAGGGCAACAAAGGCCTAATATCCAGGCTTTACAAATATATTTTAGAGTATAATTTAGTAGATAACCAAATAAAAACTGTTATGATCACGTGGTCCAAAGATGTAGGCAGAAATATTGATCTGGAGGAGTGGGAACATTTTTGGAATAAGGGTTTTAGATTCTCAGTGGCCAGCTCAATTGGAGAAAATATGTTTAAAATGTTTTACAGAACCTACATAACGCCAGAGTTACTAGCCAAAATAGATAAAGCAGGACAAGGGGCTTGCTGGAGATGCAAGAAGGTGAAGGGATCTTTTTTCCATGTATGGTGACCCTGCAACATAATTAAAGAATTTTGGAGTGGTGAAAGAAACAAACAAAATGATTAGCAAAAAGATTAAGAAAAACCCAGAAATGTTCTTACTAGGAATATTTAGAAGTCATATTAGCGCAGGAGATGAGGAAATTTGTCAGTATTGTTTTGTCGCTGCAAGATTAACAATAGCTAAAACATGGAAGGGGGAAAAAGAGCTAACTATAAAGGATTGGAGAGATAAATTAGTAGATTATATCCAAATGGCCAAACTGACAAATAGCAGCAGAGGAGGAAATAATGAAGAATTTGTTATAAAATGGAGGTTGGCAATCGGATATCTCGAAAAGAAGACAAAAGTAGATTTGAAGATCGCCATAAAGGGGATTCAGTGAAAGCAAACATGTGGGTAGTTGTGGGTTAGTTATGTGATCCACATGGAGTGTTGTCGGAGGTCATGGGGGTTGGGTTCACGGGTGTGGGGTTAGAGGGGCAATAAATGTTAATGTGTTATAACTGTACAGTCAAAGTTGATTTTCCATATGTTTAACGAGCACTGACTGTATACTATTCTGTAAACTTGCATACTCTTTTGTATATCCTTTTTTTCTTTTCTGTTTTTTCTTGTCTGTTTTCTATTTATTTCTGTTTTCCTCTGGTGTCGTTTTCGTTTTCTGTATGCACCATAAACCAATAAAAATAAAAAAAATAAAAAAGGAAAACATTATAACACATCATAATTATGCAAATAATTTAATACAGTCACTATGTGTTTTCATAATTAGACTCTTAATTGTTATAGAAAAGAATTGCTAACAAGCTAAATCTTTTCTAGGAGTGTTTGCAGAAATTCTTACAGACAAGTGCTGGTGTAAACAATCACGAGTTCCTCTTAGTACACCACCTCCAGCGTGCCAACTATATTCCTGCATTGCAGTTGAATCAGTCACTCAAACATAATCTCATGGTAAGCCTTAATATTTATGTGAATATGAGCGAAACAGGGGCATGTTTATCCTGGATTTGCTTTGCTATATTTCTGGAAAAATGGGTAGAAATTTTTTTTCTAAACTCCTAAATGATTGCTTTTTTATTAGTGTTTCTCACCTTTCAGTATAAATGGTGTTAAACAAAACGCTCTCCTCCTTTCCAATGTTTTGTCATCCACAAGCTAATAACCCACCCATAAATGTTGTCTTGATATTAATAACAAACCAATAGGTATATGTGTACAGTTTGTGCAACTTCTGCTCCTTACCTCATGGTTTGATGGGAGGAATCAACTTGGTGCCTACATATAAAAACTCATATTGGGTATTTTTTCAGTTGTTTATGTGAATAGGCCATTAACTACTTTCCTTTGCTGTTCTGTTAAACAGAGTGATCGTGATCCCCGATGGAAAGAGAGATCAGTTGTCAGAAATTCTATATTAGACCAATATGGGAAAGTTCTTCCCAGAGTTCAAAGGAAGCTGGCTGCAGAGCGAGCCAAGCCTTACCATTTGTCATCTTCAATACGGCGGGAAAGTAAGACATTTCAGAAGAAATTAGTGACTATTCGCACAATGAAATTTAAAAAACTCAGTTTTAATGTCAGCTTTCCTTCTGTCTTTCTTTTTTTCTTTCTTAGTTATGAGACCAAAGCCTTTGTCAACAGTTGCAAAGCAAGTTGCTGCAGGGAATGTCATTACCAAATCAACTTTCATCAATAATGTTCTATCCAAAATTGGAGAGGTGTGGGTGGGAACAGAAGAAAAAAATAAATCATTTCACAATGAAATGTAAGTATTCCTTTTGTTGCATTCAGGGAATAACTCATTTGTATTGCTCCTTGCTAAAATGCACAGGAAGATCAGAGCCATTGTTTTTAATTCTTCAACTTTTCCCCATTAGACATGGTAGCCTCTTACCATGTAAGTATGCCTTTCTGTCATAGAAACCTTTGCCAGTTTTAGTGTACATCCCCGTAATTCTACAATGTACTAAGCAGCGCCTTTGTCTTTGTAACTTTGAGACTATAATCCTTAAATGCATGTGTGAATATCACTACTGTTATAAACTTGGCCTCACCTGTTTTCCAAATCTAGAACTGAAGAAGCATTACCCAGCATGCCCTCTACTAATACCGAGTTACTTGATCCGTTTGTTGGGACACCAGTTACTAAATCATTACGAAAATGTTCCAGGTAAAATTCTTATATCTGAAGTGTATCTGAAGTTCAGGAGGGGTTTATGGCCTTTGAGTGCTTTCCTAAGAGTTATATGAGCAGCCACACTTGCATATAGTTGTATATGCTGATAATTGGTTGTTGAATCCATAACAAGAGATTTGGACAAAACATACAGTAGCTTTGCTTTCAGTTACATTTTATTTGTGGAACTTTGTAAAAATTGAAGATTTCTAGCAATATTTTTCTTTGCTTGGGAAAGCCTCTTGCTACTGAACTTAAATGATGTGTGAACTGTGATAGTATACTGTTAAGAGCACCATTTTCTAGATTGTAACAATATAGGCATAAGTTAGAAGCACTAGAAGCAGATTCTATTAATATGAAACACATGTTTTCAACACTAAAATATTTACAGATTGCTTGACTTGGTGGTCCAGCCTGCTTCTCTTGGTTCACCGCCCCTCCGAAGCTCAAGAGTTTCTGATTCCTGCATGCTTTCTAGTCCACTGCATTCCAACCCTCGATACTCCTTAAGAACATTACTACCTAAGAACATTGCAAGAGCACCAGAATTAAAATTACTGGAAACACCCCCTGTTGTTAAGGTATTTAGAACTGGTTTCAGGAACTGAAGCCTATCAGTACATGGCACTACTAACTTGGGTTTTCGGTCACACATTTTAAGATGTTTTCTCCTCCCCTTAGAGAGCTAAAGCTTTGACATCTATATCTTCCTCTGGCTTCACTGGTTTCACCCCTCAGTCCATTTTGAGATCGAGTCTTCGCACTACTCCTTTGGCTACTCCAACCTCATCTCCAGGAAGATCTATTACACCCCCTGTGCGTGCAAAAGAAACAAAAATATCATTTTTAGAAGAAAACAAAGCTTCCCAATGGACTGTTCCAGTAAGTGGAAGAAATTAATGGTGCAAAGAAAAAAGCCTGACTCCTTACCTGAAGTGTAGGTGCTGTGTGAGATTGAAACTGATGCCAAATATAATCCTCATCTGTAGTACCACTGACTTAAAAGTGGGAGGAGGGTTCTGTATGAATAGGTTTCAAGTGAATAATGTGTCTAATGCTGGACTGCCAGATAAGCCCAGGGTATGATGCCAGTTCTGTCTCTTTTATGCTGCAGTGTCTGCATGATAGCGTAAAGAGCATATTCACCCGAATGATGTAATGTAAGCTAATTCTAGTGTTCAGTTTGTGAGGCAGTTATTGTTAGCTCTTTCCTACCTGCCATAGTGTGAAAAGTAAAATTGCTAAATAAAACTGTTAATACTGCATTTTCTTTTCTGAAGCTTGAAAGTAGCTGGACATTGTCCACTTAAATATATATTAATTTCAAGATCTAGATCAGTGGTTCCCAACCTGTGGTCCGTGGACCACCACTGGTCCGCAAGAATTAAAATATGGTCTGCGGCCTCACTGTTACTACACCTTTGCAATGAGATGGACTGGTCTCGCAAAACTCTCTTATAGTGCTCTTATAGGGCTTATTAAATATGATTTTCTGTGGGCAAGCAGGGGCAACTACTGGATATGTTCTGTATCAGAAACTAGAGCTGATGTAATCTCTCCAATGCAATTTTCTGAATCAGTACCCCAAATAACCAAACCAAATCTAAAGTTGACCAAAAACTGATTCGTAACCCTTTTGATACCAATGTTGGAGAATTTGAACAATAATGAGACAGCATTCTGCTGTCTCATTGGCTCCAGTGGGGCAAAAGGCAAGTCTCCTTGACATAATCTTTGGCACAGTTACCCATTGCAGAGTAGAGAACAAAGGAGAAAAGCAGATTGAAATTATAAGAAAACACATAGATAGGAGCTCAGAGGGCAATTGACAAGTTACAGTTGCTTATCTAGAGATCTGGGTGGAGTGTAGCTTTTCTTACAAATAACATTAAATGTCACAACCTAGTTTGCCCATTCAGATAAATGACTACCCCGTTTCCAAGGCCTGTTTCTTGATGTACAATTTATCTTGTATCTTTGAGGAACGGAGTCTGTCTGGAGTCGTTCTGTTTAATTGTTAGCTTTTTTACAGCTTTAGTCACTTAAGCTAGCATTCTAACATCATAGCGTAGAATCATAGAGTAGTTAGCAAGGGCCATCCAGTTCAGCCCCCTGTCGTGCAGGAACACATAGTCAAAGCACTCCTAGAAAATGGACACACCCAGCAGCTAGACCTCCAGAGCAGGAGACTTCACTGCCCAAGGCAACGCATTCCCCTGTCAAACAGCATTTACCATCAGAGTGCAAAGCTCTTGAGCAGTTGTCAAATTTCGGTACTAGAAGCTTACATATCCAAATAACACACTTGCATTTGATTATTTAAAAGGATGTGGGAGTCTTGATGTCTACTTGATTTGGTTCCAGGATCCTCATGCATACCAGTGTTCGTGAATGCACAAGTCCCATTCTATACAGTAGCATAGTAAAAAGATGTCGCTTTGTCTTTGCTATTTATTTATTTATCCTATATATATGCCGTTCTCTATCCTGAAGGGGACACAAAGCAGCTTACTTATAGGCAATTATTCAATGCCTTAAAACACATACAATTCCAGTAACTTAAAATTAAATTAATACATAATAAGCATTTAAACATTTAAAACATTAAATTCAATATAAAATCATGCCATCTGTAATCATAGTCCAAAGATGTTGTGTAGTCATTGCACATATTCCAAATCTGTTATTGCTCTGCCCTATTCTCCGAAAGTCTGATCCGAAAGCCAAGTTTTTACTTTCCTTCTGAAGGCTAGGAACGAGGGGGCTGATCTAATGTCACTGGGTAGGGAGTTCAATAGCTGAGGGGCCACCACTGAGAAGGCACTGTCCCTCGTCCCCCACCAGCTGCGCTTGCGAGGAAGGCGGGACCAAGAGCTGGGCCTCGCCAGACAATCTTAATCTCCGAGGTGATTCAGTAGAAAATTTCAGTATGCTGCTTCTGAGTCAGAGCATTGCATGGGTTTTTTTTTAATGTTCAGAAGATTTTCAGTAATGGGAAAGTTGAGTTTTTATCTATTATAACATGGGTCTTTTTTCTTACCCAAGGTGACAGATTGTAAAGCAAGGCACAGTGCAGTTTCATCTGAATATAACACTGGCACACAACTGGAGGATATGTGGACTAAGCAAGGAAAAACTCCCTCCTTCTCCATGAGCAGTCTCCATGAAGACCATGAACATAGGAACCTATCTTTAGAAATTATACAAGGCGATCATTTAGATGAAACTGACACCTCAAAAGGAATTAACACCATTTGTGTCACGTCTGCACACCCGACTTCAAACTATTATGATTCAGAATTACCAGTTGACTATGGGAGTAACACGTTTGTAGCCTCTCAGACAGTTCATCTTTTCTCTGAAGACACTGTAAATATTCCAAGCTCAGCTGAGAGCGATGACAGTGAGACAGCTGAAAGTGATCCCTTAGAAATGGAACAGCAGACATCTCCAGAAGTAAAACTGTCAATTGGTATGTGTTCTGTCATCTGTTTACAGACAATGGGAAAAGCAGCATGCTGAAACAGACCAAATTCCAATCACTGTATCATTGTTTTTTTAACACTATGTGTGCAATAGGAAAGAGTGGTAATAGCCAAATCCAACCAATAGCATTATCTTCAACATCTGGGGAGAAACAAGTCTAATAGTGTGGCCCTGTTGGTTGCCATTTTTTCTATAAGGAACTTGAATAGTTGAGTTTGTCAGTTTGGGAGCAAGTAGGTCCATAAAAAATAGGAAGCACAAAAAGGAGTAAAAAAAATGATTTTTTTTTTAAAAAAAATAGCGTTTTTTAAGAGTAGGCATTAAACTTCCTGAATTGTGTGTTTGGATGTTTAGTTGGGTGGGTGGGGTCCAAACAGGTTTTCTCCAGCCAAAGGATGCCCTCCCCACATTTTGGACTACAACTCCCAAGATTCCTTATGGCTGGGAGGAATTGCATTCCACGACAACTGAATCGCACCAACTTCATGAAAACGGATTTAAATTAAACCAGAGGTCAGTTAGTGACTCTACTCTTGAAGGAAATTATACTGCAATGCCTGTTACAGATCTTATTTTAAGATTATTTTTTGTATGTGTTCGGAGCGACTTGAGAAACTGCAAGTTGCTTCTGGTGTGAGTGAATTGGCCGTCTGCACAGACATTGCCCAGAAGATGCCGGATGTTTTACCATCCTGTGGGAAGCTTCTCTCATGTCCCCGCATGAGAAGCTGGAGCTGACAGACATGGGAGCTCGCCCCACTCCCTGGATTCGAACCGCTGACCTTTCGGTCAGCAGTCCCGCTGGCACCCATTGTGCCACAGGGGCATGAATAGTAATTGCTAAACAAATTACGATCTGCAATTTAAAAAAAATATCTGTAATTGTTCCTTCACAGCAGCCTGTAGTCATGATTCTCTTAAATTAATAAGGCATACCCTGCTTATCCAATGAAAAAAGCAAAATATTAATATATCACAGCTAGTACCTGTAAGCAGTATTGGCTTCAATGAATGCCTTTCCTTTCAGTGGCTAGCACAAAATGCTTCTGGCCTTAGTACATTGTAACAAACTCCAGAAGAAGATAATATTTTCTGTGCCATCTGCTATATATCAAACCTTTCATATTAGGTCTTTGACACACACAGAGACTACTGGAGTTTGAAAAAAACAAGCAGTTCCAGAGTTTCATTGCATCTGTCTTCTCTAGAACCCACCACAATATTAGCAAAAAAGGCCCTCCCTTTGTTTCTCTTTATATGCAGGTTGTCAACCTTTCCATTACAGAATCAGAACATTTCACTTACAATAAAACGTCAATGTAACATAAGCATTTACATTTCCTTGAGGTCTTTCTTGTGCTTTTTAAAAGTTGTGTGCATTGGGGGTGCTTTTTTTCAAAATTATAACATTGTACCTTCTGTTGACAGGATTGTCTGATAAAGAGACACTTCCTAAGGATGAAGTATTGGTGATGGATCATTTAAATGCTGTTGAAGACACTGTAGACTCTTTTGTGCCTCCTAATGAAAGGTGAATATGCCAAGCAGACTCTTGGAAAAATAATAGGTGACTTTAAGGTGTTTTTTGTTTTGTTCAGTTTCTTGGCTCCTGTGATTGGGCATAAGGTGACAGTTTTTACTCTGAGGGGAGTGCAATTTTTTGCTGAACAAGATTTACCTCCGAAACCTGTTTGTTGCCCAAGAGGTTAGGGCCTTGGATCCTTTTAAATTAAAATGAACTTCTGGATGTATTTTGAAGATATGACTCCTGGTGTATGGCCACCTAGTAGTATGTACATAAGATTTGCTAGCTGATTTTTTATACTCATTGAATGTTTATTGAATACACAAAATAGTAAGAAATACAGACCACCTATTCATAGCTGCAAGGCATTTTAACAAAAAAAAAACCAAAACAGGGTTCCAAACTTGTCCATATAACAGCTTTGCATGGGTTCTGTATTCAATTGTAATTATATTGATTTAAGATCTGTGATGTTGAATAGATTTGATAATATTTATAAAAATGATTGTAAAGACTTTTTTGAAAGTTTAAATGAATGTTGTCTTTTTTATACCAAGTGGAACAGATGCTGTAGAAGCCAGTGTGCCATCATTGTTAAAAGAAGGGCTCCCGGCTGAGTCAAATGCCAAAGCCTTGGAGCTAAATGAAAGAGATGAAGAATGTATGTATATTTTCATTATCATACAAATAAAATTACCAGATGAGTTTTCTCCATTTGCTTTCAGTAGATAAAATATACTTTTAATTTCCAGTGCGGTGTGACTTTACTTTCACTTTAGGACTCCAAAGCATGTATATTATTTAAAATTTTGGAAGTCCAATATGTTTACTAATATGTTCTAAAAACACATATCTGATATGAGAATCTTATCTTTCAATGTTTCAGAGGTAGCTTTCAGATTTAATCGCATTTTATTTTAGAATCATCTAAGAAAGATTTGTTGCTGTAGTCACCTTATTACTGCAAATATATATATATATATATAGAGAGAGAGAGAGAGAGGTTTCTAAAGATCTTTTCCTAGAAAAATTAATCCACAAGATTTCATCTAATCTTTATATTATATATCCAGAAGACAGCACAGAAGCAATTTTCTTGTCTGTCCTTTTATATAAGCTGAGTAAGCTTGAATGGAATGACTTTACATAAAAGCCTTTGCTTCATTTGTACATATTTTCAAACAGTTAGCATCCTTGTAGGGCAGGCCTGCACAACATACAGCTTGCAAACCGGATACTTTCTGTGCAGCCCGCACCTAAGATTATTCCCCCCCCCCCAACCCCACTCCATTTGATGGGGCTTCCGCCTTCCGACGCTCAACCCTTTGTGTGCTTGCCAAGGGAGAAGCTGAGGCGCCTGCCCATATTTGCACTGTTTCCATGGTAATGGCATACGGCTGAGGAGAGGCTTGGGTTCCCCCATAGGCCTCAGCCCCCGTGCGCCTGCCTCCCTTGGCCATGGGAACAGAGTGCAGCTGCAGAGAGGCGTGGGTTCCCCCTTGGGGCTCGGACCCCTTCCCAACCCCTGCTCCATTCCCATGGGAACAGCACAAGGGTGGGGAAAGGGGTGGGGATTCTCCTTCTGTGGGGGGGGGGAGGCAGTATGGAATGTGAAAGGGTTTGTGGGTAAATCTGGGCCAAGTTGTGCAGGCCTGTTGTAGGGAAAGCCTATTGATTTCTATAATTTTGAGAATGATGTGGTCCAAGTATTACCTTAGCTTTATTCAAGTTGTACAAATATGTTATACACCACCGTGAATATGTTGTACACCGCCGTGAGTCGCCCTAGGGCTGAGAACAGCGGTCTACAAATGCAGTAAATAAATAATAAATAAATAAATAAGTTATATTTAGAAGAAATCTAATGTTATTGTTTTTAAAATTGGAGCATTATGATGAGGATCTTACATATTTCAAAAACTGTAATTGCTATAACTTTTTTCTCTAGTACTAGAAGGTACATAAATATATCTAACAATTCTTGGCTTATCCATACCAGTAGCAGCTGGATATTTTTTCCTGTGTATAAGCATTATAATCTGCCCTTACTATTGCAGTAGCTCACAGCAATCTCAGTACCTTTAACTCGGTGTTAAATAGAAGTCTAGTATGTTATTTCAGTATTGTTGAAGAGAAGATTTTATGAGAAGTATTGTCATTGATTTAAAAAGTTTTAATGTAGAAATAAGTAAAAACAAATTGCTTTTTCAGCTATCATCAGTATTCCTGATAGTGACGACATGGCTAGTATTCATTCCAATGATGAACTTGAAGTAGTAGCATTAGAAGAAGACAAAGCAGAAGCCAAAGAAGAAATTTCAGTAGTACTGCAGGAAGAAGCACCACTTGATAGTGAACCTGAAATTCAAGATCGGAAAGTAATTGCTTATATGTTTAACTGTATTATTTATATTGTTTTATTTGCTTGCTTGTTTGTTGATGTATTGTTGTATTTGTATTTGACGGGCTTGGCCTCATGTAAGCCGCCCTGAGTCCCTTTGGGTAGATGGTGGCGGGATATAAATAAAGTATTATTATTATTATTATTATTATTATTATTATTATTATTATTAAATAAAATCCATATTTATTATAAGTATCATTTGATATCAGTGATACTGTTTGATATCAGTGATGATTGTTTTACTAGTATAAATGCTCCCAAATTTCTTTCACAAAAATCACAAAAATGATCAGGATTTTCCTCCATGTGGAGAAATCCTAACAGAGCAGATTAAAAAGGATATTTTTTTCAGAGTGTAGTTCTCCTTCCCAATGATACAAGTGTATAACAGCCCCAAAAATTATCGCAGATTATTACTACAAAGTGGCAGCAATATCTATAGGTGCTAAGGGCCAGATCTCCACTTCTCTATGTGGCTTTATTCCATTCAAATTTGAGTGCAGAGTATAGCTTTTAAACAGTTTGAATATTTCTCTAAACTAGTGGTTGTCAACTTGTGAGTCCCCAGATTTTTGGCCTTTAGCTCCTAGAAATCCTAACAGCTGGTAAACTGGCTTCTTTAAACGCTCAAGTACATTCTGGAAAACATTGTGCTGGAACTAATTTCATATGATTTTTGTTCTTTAGGTCATTGGAGACAGAAAACAGGAAGCATCAGTGGCAGAAACAGAAATGGAAGCATTGCCAAACTTGGAGCTATGTCCCTCAAACAACCTCCACTTTCAGTACAACTGTGACACTGTGGAGGAGCAGCAGGTTACATATGATGTTCCTGATAAAGATATTGAAGAACCTCACTTTAATGAAGGAGAAGGGGAGCTTGTCCTATCAGATAACAATTTTTCTTTGATATTAGAAGGGGATGAAGAGGCTGAGACAGAAAATGCTGCTGCATCAGACACTTCTCTTGTATCACATCAATCAAAAGTAGAAGGTCAAAACAACAACCAGGAATATCTCACCAATACAGTATCCACAGTAACTAGTGATGTGATTTCTCAAAGCACTGCTGAAGTATTGCCATATGTACCTGAACCTATTCAGGTGGCTATTGCTGAAAACCTTTTAGATGTAATAAAAGACACAAGAAGTAAAGAACTTGCCACTGAAGCAGTAGAACAATCTGATAATGAGAGCATAAACAAGAAGGTGTCAAGTTCCCCCCAGTCTCCCTTTGAGAAAAAGCAAGTTACAGAATTGAGCCAAGTGGAAGGTTTGGTGGTATCTAATGCCTGTGCAACAGAGCAATTGACACAAAGCCTGAATGTCCCATTGCCTGATGACCAACCACTGACAGAGACTAAGAAAGCAGAAGTGCTAGTACTGCCCACCCCAAGAAGGAGTTCTAGGCGAGCAAAGGAGACTTCATACATTCCTAAAAAACTTCCTCCTGTCAGTTCTGAAGAATCTCAAGATCAGCAAGCACTCCAGACTTTGCTTGTTCCAGTAACAGATGCCACCAAAGCAAAGGATTCGGATTTAGAAGAATCGACAAAAGTTCAGACAGTTGTGCAGGGGTCTCAAGCAACCATGACTCCAAGAGGGAGGCCGAAAAAACAAAAAAAACTTATATCAGAACTTCATGAATATCCCAATGAGCAACCATCTTCTGGTTTCAGAAGGAGTTCAAGGCATACAACAAGCTTAAGGGATCAGGAAGGTAGTCAATATATCATTGATCATGCAATACAGATGACAGTAAAGCCTAAAAGTGCAAAGAAACTAAAGGCCATTTCTTTTCAGCTCACAGACAATGAAATTTCAGATCAGATAGTGGAATCCAGTGAACAGCTGCTGAGTCCCAAACCAAGTAGAATGAGGTCAAGAAAGCATGACATACTGCAAGTAATATCTGAGACCGAAAAAGAACCTGAGAAACCATCATTGACTACACCGGGTAGAAGGGGCAGAATGAGAAAGTCAAGTCTACCAGAAGCAACTTCTGAACCTGATATACAGCCAGCTGTTCCACCTGGACAAGAGGGAGTACAAAACACAAGTGTATCGGGAGCAGTTCCTGGTCATGGAACGGAACTTATTGAACAAACACCTATACAACCCCGGAAAAGAGGCAGACCAAGAAAGAATCCTTTGACTGTTTCAGCAAATTCGCAGCTACATGTGTCTCAGTTATCTCCTCCTCAAACAGACTCTAAAACTGTTGTCGCTACTAGAAGAAACACCAGAAGTAGAGCATTAAATCAGTCAACGAGGGCAGAAACTTCACTGCCTCTACAAGAGTCTACAGTGGACACTCCAAAGAGAAGAACTGCAAAGTCTGTGTCTCTGAGGATAGAGGAAAGAGAAGTAGAAAACCCCCTTCCAGAAGAACGTTCTGTCCAGTCAAGGAAAACAGTAACTTCAGCAAAAAGTTCAGGAAGGAGACCGTCTAAGATGACATCAATCAGAAAAAGGGGCCAACTCTCATCTCGTTCTGAGGAAAGCACAGAAGAGGAGAAACATTTGCCACAGGGAACTAGTGATCCAGAAGAACTGCAGTCTGCAGACATGACCAAATTAAGGCTCAATGATACAGGGACAACTCTGGTACAGCATGGCACTCACAGGACCAGAAACAATAAAAAGGGTGTGGATGAGAGCTTCTCTCTGGATGAGGCTTTCTATTTTTCTCCACCTCTAACAAAGCTCACAGAAAAATCAAAAGGTATTTGATTTTTTTCTTAGGCAGTAAAATTCTGTGTTATTTATCCATTTTCTGTCATATTCTTTATGGTTTCTAGTGAACTTCCCAGTTCACCCCGTTTGCTTTGTTTGCTTCAAAGCAAAAAGGTGACAGAATGAATCAGTAACTCCCAAATTGGCTCTATGGGAGCAGAGAACTGCCCAGAAACAGTGTACCCTGTGGTGAATAAAGAACACAGCAATGCTATATTGGTTTGGAGAACCCAACATGATAGTCAGAAAAGAGAGAGGTTTGAAGACACTACATTGGACTTTGACTCAGATCCTGTTGTCCATGTTGCTTTGGGATGAAAGGAGGACTAAGTCTTATTTTCCCCCTAATGTAACCTTGGAGAGAAAAGATGAGCTCAGATGATGTTGCTTCTAACCAACACCATCTGTGTGATCTCATATTTTCTTATTGCATTAGTGGATCTTAGAGGTTAAATGCAAATGTCAACAGCAATTGAAAAATAAGGAGCATACTCTATGAAATCCCCCCCCCCCCCTTCTTAGGAAAGACAGATTTCCTAGTAGCAGGGCTTAATTTGGCTAGAATCTGGTCTTGGGTTAATGTAACTTTAAATAATAGTGTATCTGAAGCAATTACAGCAAACCCTGTTTTTAAAAGGCAGCGTTGAGAAAATATAAGGAGACAGTGAATGCCAAGGTCGCAGTCAACACAAAAATACTACAGCTTGGCTGTAATTTCATCTTACATGGAGCTATTATTTGACAGCATTGAACATCCTGTTTCTCCTTCAAAGACTTACCTAATCATATTGGGGGGGGGGGGGTAGTTGTTGAATGCTCTAGCAAATAAGGCTCAAAAATTCATCTTCACTTTATCTATCTGCCATATTGCTTAAGCCCATTGCCTGGTGTTTGATGGTTGGTTTTAATTGGGGTAACGTTGAAAGCAATTTTCATAGAACTCTCCACCTAAGGTTCAAGATTTTACTTAAAGTTGTTAGGAATGTTTAGTTTTAAGTCCAAACTAAATATATGTGCCTTTTAATTTTAGGTGAAAAAGCAGTGACTCCTGTGCAGCTCAAAACTTTAGAAGCAGGCTTGACTTCTCAGTTTGTCTTCTCACCTCCTGTTTTGAGATCCAGGAAAAAACAAGCATCCAGTATTTCAAGGATTGTGGAAGAATTGGTGAGTTTATTGCTTCTCCTTTCATGCCTATATTTTCTGTGGCTTCTCAAATCAGATCAGAATAAAACAACATATTTTAGTAAAATAAGCCTTTTACCCTTCTCTAGGAGAGAGATGGGAATTGTTTAACCCCTGTGTTCCAATTCTACCCCACCTGGACCTTTTGCATCCTCGGGGGAAAAAATCCATTCCAAAATCCGCTCCATCACCTAATGAAAAGGGGTTCCAATATATCTATGGAAACAAATTATAATTCTAAAAACAAGAAATTGTGTGTAAGAGTAGGTAAAATGGAGAAGGAAAAATGGCCTAGTGCCTGTCCCTCCTTCTCCAGGTGGAGATTTATGAGCAGAGACTGAGTGGGGAAGATGTGTACCATTAGGGAAAAGGGTTAAAATCTGGCAGCCTGCATCATGGGAAGCTGGTAAATTGAATGAAAGGTTGACACAGTTGGCAGGACATGGAAAGACGAGTGGAGGGGCAGCAGACGGAATGGAGCAAGGAAGGTGAGCTACCTAAGCAGCAGCTACAAACTCAGAAATAATCAAATCCGCAGGGGGAAAACCTGCAAATGGGAGAGGCCAGTTGTAATATGTGAATGCAATGGTGTAATCCAGGTTATGATTTTTTTTAAATTGAGTCATTTATTGTTAATAATATATGGAACAACGACCATTATATCAGTGTAATGTCAATATATATTGTACAAGTTAAAAATGCCCATGCTGCTAGCTGTGAAAGAGTTAAGTAGTGGAGCATTTATTTATGTGTTATTACAATTAATGAAATGTAAATAAATATAAGAGCTGGTACTGAAGCAGAAACAACTGTGTGAAGTCAGTTAATTGGATGATAAGAAGCAAGTTGGCCAGCAAATTGCATAGATACATTACCTAAATCAGTTGTTCTCAAACCCTTGGCCATGGAACCCTTCTGAAACCGCCCCCCTCCCCCCAAGAAACCAAACTCTGTCCCGCTTCTGACACGACCAAAAACAAAAAACAAAATGCTGCATTGTGAACCTGCAAAGTTCTTCCTTCTTTTATCTATTCTTATTGCCTGGGTGTTTTGTATAATGAAAAAATGTTTTATAACTTTTAATTGAATCAATTTCAACACTTCATTTGTGGCCAGCCTGACTGCATGAAGCACCATTTACCTTCCCACAAAAGTGGTACCTATTGATCTACTTATATTTGCATATTTTTGAACTGCTAGATTGGCAGAAGCTGGGTCTAACAGCGGGAGCTCACCTCACTCCCTGGATTTGAACTGCCAACCTTTCGGTCAGCAAGTTCAGCAGTTTAGCAGTTTAACCCACTGCACCACCTAGGGCCCCATATTATATCTGTGAGCATCTCATAGAATAATAGAATTGGAAGAGACCACATGAATAGAATTGGAAGAGGCCATCTAGTCCAACTCCCTTTCAAGACATCAAGTAAAAAGAAGATGAATAACAAGTTCCTCACTATTCAGATGTCTTAACACAATTTATTTGTTCTCAGGAACTACCAATTAAGGAGGAAAAAGATGCCATCTCAATAGAGTCAATAGAAAAGCCAAAAATAACAAGAAGCAGAGCTACAAAATCAAAAGGGACAAAAAGAAGCAAGTATGCAATGATTCTATCTTTTAAAAGTTACTTTGAAATTACAAAGACCTTTGACATTTGGTGTTACTGTAGCGCAGAATAATATGATGGCTTGAAACCATTAATTTGGTCTTTGGTTTACCGCCCGGACATGGTGCCAGTAATTTACTGCCACGGTTAGAGGATCACAACTTGATTAAGTCTGAATTGATATTTTTATATGTGCATGTGTTTTAAGTTATTGTATTTTATATTGTCTTCACTTTTATGTTTGTTTTTAGTCACTTTGTGCTATCTGTAAGCCGCCTAGTCCCTTTGGGGAGATGGTGGCGGGATATGAGAATAAAATGATAATCATTAACCAACGTCTGGAAAAGAAAAATCTAATTCACTTAAAGGAAGACACTGCCTCTCAGCATAACTTTCTTTCCCCCCTTTTCTTGCAGAAACTTAGGAAAAGAAAGCAGTTGGTCCCCACCACCAATGGAAATACAGTTCATTTCTCCTTTTGGCACCCCAATAGATGGAACAAAGAGCAAACAGAGAGAAACTTTGGACAAAGGAGAAAAAGCTGTTCGAAAGACTGTTCATAAGAAAGAGAGGCAAGAGAGGCGGCTGTCTAGCTATCCAAAGCCAGTTGTTCGGAAGAAGATGCTATAACTGTTTTATTTTTTAATGTGTAATATATACCAGAATTGTGTGGAATATGAAGAAATAATCATCTAATTTGGAAGATAATTTATATAAATTATTGTAAAATTTCAGAAAACTAAAGGTCTTCAATAAGTAACTCCATATGGAGTGTGATTTCAGTCAATGCAGTTTTTCTATTTTATAAGACACTTCATACATTTATATAATATGTAAATACGTCTTATTTTAGGAATGTTAAATAAAAATGTATACTTAACAATGATTATTGTCCACTAGATTTTTCAAAGAATCTGGGTCTGTGGGACAAACGAACCCAAAGTGGATTTTAATGACGGATTGCCACTGTTGATGCCTCTGTCATGGGAGGCTAGCATTCTTTTTTTTTTTAAAATAGTTTGCTCTTCAAGGTTTTTAAAAATTAAAATTTGGCAGTTTTAGTATTTATAGAAAATGTTTTGACCTTCTGAGAATTGGTAAAACGGTTTACCCATCAGAAACAAATCTTTCCTTTCCTGATTGAACATGTACTTTATTGAAGTCAGAATGTAAACAATTGTATTGAAGCTGTGCAATATTTTTTTGTATTTGTCTTAACCTGGGAAAGCTGCTCCTCAGTTGATAAAACAAAATCTCACCTCAAACGTTTCATGGTTTCTTTCAATTTGCTGCATTAATGGAACATTCAAACACTCAAGATATTTTATATGTTCACTGATCTTCCCCATGGGATTTGAACATTTTCTGGAATTTTGCCTATTTAAATTTGACTCATGTTTGATTTTTTTTTTTTGAAATGCTGCATGTTTTATAGACTTTGTGGTTAGTATTGCTGCCACAATTTGCTAAAATAAAAGTTGCCTGGAAATGCATTTCTCTTCAGTTTTTGACACATTTTGCATAGCCCAGAGACTAGTGAAGGTAAATTCAAACACCATCATAGTCCAAACTGACAGAGAAGCAAAATATACCCAGTTTATTGAAACAAGAGTTTGTCAAAGGATTCTCAATTTTCATTATGTAATGATTTTGAGAATGTTCAGTGTGACCAACTGGAATTCCTTTTAGTAATAATTTATTAGGTAACTTATACAGGTGATGAATGCATTAATAATACAAAAGCCTAGAAAGAAACAAGCTGCCTTGCACTCCGCTCTACCACTTTTTTTCCCAAAGCAAGATGTTGAAGATAAACTGATGGGCGTACTCTGTATTTTTCTTTCTGAATTTCTTGGAAGGTTTAAAGCAAGGAAAGCATGCCAAGTTATGACAGCGTGAAAGTGGCAGTACGTGTAAGACCTTTCAGTCAGGTTAGTAATTGATTTTATGTACTCTGTTGAAAACTAAGGCCAAAGAACACAGGTTTGGGGGGTGTTTGGGGGTATTCTGGAAAGGTGTGCCTGACAAAACAAGGTGGAAAGGAACTCAGATCTAGTCTTCCAGTATGCTCTTCTTCGGGTATGCTTTTTATAGGGAGTGAGGAGGCAGAATGAAGACTAGTGTTGCCTACCTTTGTTGTTGTATATGCCTTTAAGTAATTTCTGACTCATGACAACTTTAAAGCAATAGAGGGCTCTTGGCAGAATTTGTTCAGAGGGCTTCCTCTGAGGCTGAGACAGTGTAACTTACCCAAGTGGTTTTCCATTGCCAAGATAAGGTTTGAACCCTTATATCCTACTGGCCTACATATATCACTTAAACCATTATACCACATTGGTTCTACTGCAGGGGTCACCGTACTAAGACTCAAGGTCATTTACCCGGCCCTCACCCTAAACTTTACACTTAGGGTCACTCTAAATCTGAAATGACTTGAAGGCACACAATTAGAGGGCGAGATTGGCAAGTTGGAACATGTCCAGAGAAGGGTGACCAAAATTATCAAAGGTCTGGAGACTATGCCCTATGAGGAGCGCCTGAAAGAGCTGGGTATGTTTAGCCTGCAGAAGAGAAGGGTAAAAGGAAACGTAACCATGTTTAAATATTTGAAATGATGACCTAAGGGAGAGGGAGCAGGCTTGTTTGCTGCTGCCCTGGAGACTAGAACTCAGAGCAGTGGGTTCAAATGACAGGATAGGAGTTTCCACCTGAATGTTAGGAAAAACTTCCTGACTATAAAAGCTGTTCAGCCGTGGAACTCTCTGCCTCGAAGTGTGTTGAAGGCTCCTCCTTTGAAGGCTTTTAAACAGAAGCTGGATGGCCATTTGTTGGTGGTGTTTGGTTGTGCATTTCCTGCATAGCAGGGAGTAGGGCTATGTCATCCATGTGGTCTCTTCCAACTCTATGATTATGATTCTACCAAAATAAACATATATTCCAGTTCAAATCAGATAATGTGGGATTATTTTCAGTTGTGTGGAAGGGGCCTGAGTTCAGTAATGTACCCAAAATGCAAACCTGTATCTTCATTCAGAGTGCAACCTCAGGCCCATCTATGTAGGTCATAAAATCCAAGGCTTGATCTGAAACATTGCATTGAAAGGTAGAGATAAAAGCAAAGACCACCAGCACTGAAGTGATGCTCCTCCGCCATCAACTCTGCTGGACTGGCCATGTAGTCTGAATGCCTGATCACCGTCTCCCAAAGCAGTTACTCTACTCCGAACTCAAGAACAGGAAATGGAATGTTTGGTGGATAGGAAAAGAGATTTAAAGATGGGCTTAAAGCCAACCTCAAAAACTCTGGCATAGGCATTGAGAACTGGAAATCCCTGGCCCTTGAGAGCTCTAACTGGAAGTCAGCTGTGACTAGCAGTGCTACAGAATTTGAAGAGGCACGAATGGAGGGTGAAAGGGAGAAACGTGCCAAAAGGAAGGCACATCAAGCCAACCCTGATCGGGACTGCCTTCTGTCTGGAAGCCGTTGTGCTCACTGTGGGGAGAACATACGGATCAAGGATTGGGCTCCACAACCACCTATGGACCCACCGCCAAGACACCACATCTGGAAGACAATCATCCTTGAGCTACGAGGGATCACCTAAGTGAATTTATTTATTAATTTATTTATTTACAGTATTTGTATACCGCTTTTCTCACCCCGAGGGGAACTCAAAGCGGTTTACACATAAGTAATGGCAAAAATTCAATGCCAGTACAAACAATTACAATTATACACTACAATTAGACATAAATCAAATTGAACAATACATCCATGAGCAATAAAACCATCATTAAAACAATAAAACAGTCTCGTCTGTCGAATCGCCGTTCCAGTCATTGTCTTTCCGAAATGCTGCATACATTTACTTCTACTGCCCAAAGGCCTGGTCCCAAAACCATGATTTTAATCTTTTTCTAAAAGCTAGGAGGGAAGGAGTGGATCTTACCTCATTTGAGAGTGTGTTCCATAGGCGGGGGGCCACAGCCGAGAAGGCCCTGTCTCGTCCCTGCCAGGCGCATCTGTGCTGTTGACGGGAGCGAGAGCATGATCTTAGATTTGGAGGTGGGACGTAGGGGTTTTGCCTTATATCAGAGGATTCCAAACTCAGGTCTTCCAGGTGTTTTGAACTTCATATTCCAGAATCTCTGATTATTGGCCAAGGCAGCTGATGCATCTGGGAGTTGACGTCCAAAAGACCTGGAGACTAGACTTTGGGAAGCACTGCCTCATATAGACTAGTTATACCTGGCTGTATGCAAAGAAGGAAATAATGAAATCTGCAAGTTATTACCTTTGTCTTATTTATTTATTTATTTATTTATTTATTTATTTATTTATTTAATATCCTGCACTCCTTCCAGTATGGAACCCCAGGCAGCTCACAACATAAGGTAAAGGTAAAGGTTTTCCCTGATATTAAGTCTAGTCATGTCCAACTCTGCAGGGTGGTGCTCATGTCCATTTCTAAGCCTAAGGGCCAGCATTGTCCATAGACACTTCCAAAGTCATGTGGCCAGCATGACTGCATGGAGTGCCGTTACCTTTCTGCAGAAGCAGTACCTATTCATCTACTCACATTTGCATGTTTTCGAACTGCTAGGTTGGCAGAAGCTGGGCCTAAGAGCAGGAACTCACCCTGCTCCCCAGATTTGAGCCGCCAACTTTTGGTCAGCAAGTTCAGCAGCTCAGCGGTTTAACCCACTGCTACACCAGGGGCTCCAGCTCACAACATAAAACCTAATCTTTTTTTCATAGTAAAGGAAAATGGAAGGAAAAATACATCTCTCTGATTCCAGCAGACTGTAACTCTTATCAACACTGTCCAAGATAGTCAAGTGAGAGGTATTACAAACTGTAGTCCAACGCCTGAAGGACAGTAACATAAAATCTGAATTTGGAGCTTAAATTTCTTTTTAAAAGCAGAGTATTGTTTCAACAGAGAGAGAAGAATGTCGGCAGCAGATGTGTGATCTCTATGAACGCCAGCACTACAAGCATACATGACCCCAAGAATCCGAGCCACGTGAAGACATTCACCTTTGACCTGGCCTATTGGTCCCACAGCGGATTTTTAAAGGACCCTGATGGCAAGCTCATTTCAGCTGGGCCAAACAGCAAATACTCAGGACAGGTAAAATGCATTGGAAAATAAGTGCCTTCCAATGAGCATTATCTTAATACAGTGCTAAAGCTTAACTATCATTCTGCTCTAAGGATATAACAGACAGTAAGTACATAACTAAAAGGCTCTCTGTGATGTGCACACCAATTACAAGCCAACAAGTATTTTTCATCAGACATAATTTTAGGTCATTCTTACAAAGTTTTTCACACTGAATTCAGATCTGTTTATTTTTTCTCTGTCACGTGTAGTTTTGTGATGATGCTAATTGAATAATGAATATATTTATGCACTGATATCAGTAGAATATTAGGACACAAGACAACTAACAACCCAATGGATGTCCTTAACTCAAAAAAAATTGATTTTGTCATTCAGGAGTTGTAGTTGCTGGGATTTATAGTTCACCTACAACCAAAGAGCATTCTGAACCCCACCAACAATGGAATTGAACCAAACTTGGCACACAGTTCTCCCATGACCAACAGAAAATACTGGAAGGGTTTGGTGGGCAGTGTCCTTTGGTTTTGGAGTTGTAGTTTACCTACATCCAGAGAGCACTGTGGACTCAAACAATGATGGATCTGGACCAAAATCTACACGAATACTCAATATGCCCAAATGTGAACACTGGTGGAGTTTGGGGAAAATAGAATCTTGGCATTTGGGAGTTGTAGTTGCTGGGATTTCTAGTTCACAGAGCATTCTGAACCCCACCAACAATAGAATTGGGCCAAACCTCCCACACAGAACCCCCATGACCACCAGAGTGGGCCACAGCAATGCGTGGCAGGGGACTGATAGTTCATCATATTTTAAAAAGTTGGCATGACGGAAAAAAATAAAGACATATTTAAAATTATAAAAAATGATTTAAACTGTGCTATTCCCATTTCTAATGATTACAAAAAGTTTGATTTTGTTGGCTTGTGTTATCAGTTCTATTCCCCACCTCAATACCTGTTTGAAATTTGAATAAATATATATATAGAGAGAGAGAAATTCAATCTTGTTATAGAGAGAAGTTTTCCGTGACCTTGGACTGGGAGTTCTGCACAGTGCGTGGCAAGGTTACAACGCGACCTTGTTGGCTTATGGCCAGACTGGCTCAGGGAAGAGCTATTCCATGATTGGATACGGTGCCAACAGAGGCATCATTCCCGTGGTGTGTGAAGAGCTCTTTAAGAGCATTCAAAACCAAGAGAAGAATAAGCAGTATCAGGTAAGGTCGGGTCACACATCATTTTGTAAAATCCAGCATAAATGGATGGATGTTTTTGTTTAAGTACATATCTGTATATTATGTCACAATTGCATGGAAACAAGAAAACTATTTGGATTAGGATGCATGCCAGAATAATAAACTGAGTTGGAGCCATTTAGGAAACCAAGAATTTGTCATGGGGCTTGTAAGTATAATGCTTTCATGTTTTTTACATTTAATTCATTCTTTTACATTTCACTCATACCACATGGCTCCATCTTGGCGCACAAGGAGAATAATTCATTCAATTAAGAATACTCATTAATTTCTATATCCTATCTGTTTCAAAAGGAGCTCAAGGTGTACCCTCTAGTTTTAAACCTCATAACAGTCCATGTGAGAAAGATCTTTGAGTCTTTGTGGACAAAAGCTGAACATGAGCCAACAGTGTTGTTCAGCACCTAAAAAAGCCAATGGGATTTTGGTCTGCATCAATAGGAGTCTAGTGTCTAGATCCAGGGAAGTCGTGCTACCCCTCTATTCTGCCTTGGTTAGACCACACCTGGAATACTATGTCCAGTTCTGGGTACCGCAATGGAAGGGAGATGTTGACAAGCTGGAATGTGTCCAGAGGAGGGCGACTGAAATGATCAAAGGTCTGGAGAACGAGCCCTATGAGGAGTGGCTTAAAGAGCTGGGCATGTTTAGCCTGCAGAAGAGGAGGCTGAGGGGAGACATGATGAGGGCCATGTATAAATATGTGAGAAGAAGTCATAGGGAGGAGGGAGTAAGCCTGTTTTCTGCTGCCCTGGAGATTAGGATGCAGAGCAAAGGCTTCAAACTACAGGAAAGGAGATTCCGCCTAAACATTAGGAAGAACTTTCTAACTGTGAGAGCTGTTCAGCAGTGGAAATCTCTGCCCCAGAGTGTGATGGAGGCTCCTCCTTTGGAGGCTTTTAAACAGAGGCTGGATGGGCATAATCTTTTGAGCATAATTTGAATGTGATTTTCCTGCTTCTTGGCAGAGGGTTTGACTGGATGGCCCACAAGGTCTCTTCCAACTCTATGAATCTATTCTATGGTTAAGCTGAAAGAAAGTGACTACCCCAAAGGGCACCCAGTGTACTTCATGGCCAAGTGGAGATTTGAACCTGCAATTCCCCAATCTCCATCCAACACTCTACTATGCATCATTGACCAGGCAGGAGCCCCGGGTGGCACAGTGGGTTAAACCCCTCCACCGACTGGACTGAAGACCAACAGGTCACATGTTCGAATCCGGGGAAAGCACGGGTGAGCTTCCTCTGTCAGCTCCAGTTCCTCATGCGGGGACATGAGAGTAGCCTCCCACAAGGATGATAAAACGTCAAAAACATCTGGGCGTCCCCTGGGCAACGTCCTTGCAGACAGCCAATTCTCTCACACCAGAAGCAACTTGCAGTTTCTCAAGTCTCTCCTGACGGATTGTTCTCTTTTAATTTTAAAAAAGCCAAAACCAAAAGATTTTGAAGAGAGGTTCTTTACTTTTAGTTTAGTTTATTTATTTATTTAGTTTGATGTTGTTTTACAGCCTTGTGTATTTTGATTACAAGTATTAGCTTGTTTTGTACTACACACACAGAGAGACATATATAATGTTTCATCTCAATAATGCAGTTGTATTGCACTGATTATTTCACTTTCCTTCTTTGTATGTATATTTAAATAAAGGTAACATTTATTTGACATTAAGTCTAGTCGTGTCTGATTCTGGGGGGTGGTGCTCACCTCCATTTCCAAGCAGTTATATTTTAGATTAAACAGGTTTGGCAGGACCCATTGTTTGTGCCATGTACACCTGATCCTGCTATATACAATTATTATTATTATTATTATTATTATTATTATTATTAGGCAATGAGAAAAGATAAAATGATATGTATGTGTTTTGAAAACATTCATAAAACTCCTTATGATGTAATACAGTTATATATGGACATGATACATTCCATGCCAAATTTATACATGGAACTCAGCACTGAATTTTCCCAAATTAACCTAAAATGTAAAGAAGATATTTCTCTTTTCTCTCCTTTTCAAATCATAGGTGACGTTTAGCATGCTGGAAATTTATAATGAACAGGTAATAATAGTAAGAGTGCAACAGAACTGTCTTCTGCACCTCTTTCTCCTTCAGGTCTCCAATGCTGAACCAAAACAATCTCCCAGGGAGGCTTCCCAGCAATTCAGGGCCACTTTGAAGAGTTAGTGGGGGATCAAGGGGCCCCCTCCTACATCTGTTGATGGAAGGAGATCTGTCAACAAAACCATTCCCTTTATTTCTGCTTCATTGATCTATTTCTAGAATATCTCATAGTTTTGTTCCTGTGTACCATATGCATTGTACAAATAATTCTCCAAATTTTGCTGTCTCTTCTGTTTCTCAGACACATTTTTAATGAACCCCGATGGCTGCTAAATCTGATTTGCTACCTTTTTCTGTACGGTTTCGGAAATGTGGGTGTCATATTAGGAAGCGGGAAAAAATGGTCTGTACAGCACATGTGTCCATACACAAATATTATTATCTTTATTTATTATTATATTTATTTATCTCCCCTGAAGGGGACTCAAAGCGGCTTAACATAAAAGCATGAGCATGATATATGTGTAGATTTGTATAAAATATACAAATATATGAACATCAAAACAAGATTAAATATTAACAGTATCTTTTTAAAATCCCAGTTAAAAACCATTGAAACAAATTAAAAATTAAAAATCACAACATCCCCTGAATTGATCTTAAACACCTTCATTTTTAAAAACCTGCCTGAATAGAAAGGTTTTAGCCTGCAGCCAAGGAACCGTGGTGGCGCAATGGGTTAAACCCTTCTGCCAGCTGAACTGCTGACCTGAAGATCGGCAGTTCAAATCCGCGAGATGGAGTGAGCTCCTGCCTGTCAGCTCCAGCAAGCATGCAGGGACATGAGAGAAGCATCCTACAGGATGGTAACACATCTGGGCAACACCTCTGCAGATGACCAGTTCTTATACACCAGAAGCGACTTGCAGTTTCTCGAGATGCTTCTGACATGATTTTTTTAAAAAGCCTGCAGCTGGAAGGATAGCAAGGAGGGGGGCATTTGGGCTTCCTTGGGCAGGGAGTCCCAGAGTTGAGGGGCAGCCACTGAGAAGGCTACATCTTCAGGATTTGTCTGTTATAAAGAATTCAGATGGGTCTGTGTATCATTTGCAAAAATGCTGCATGCAAAGGGTATAAACCCTCTAGGGAACAACCTGAGTTGGAATTATGACATTGTTGTAATTATTAAGGAATGCAAGAGCATGCTTTCAAAATCCACCGATCTTTTGCAACGTAACCTTAAATGTTTTCAAGAGTTAGTGTTTAAATTTCTCCCATACATGCGAATGGTACTCCATTTTCTATTAATGCATACTCTTCATCTACAAATCCAAGGTGACAGACTTGCTATCTAAAATCAAGAAGCAGGGTGGACTCAAAGTAAGGGAAGATCAGCAGCAAGGCTTCTATGTGGATGGCTTGAAACGAGTGCCTTGCGACAGTTATGCCCAGATTGAGAGACTAATGGAGCAAGGTACCAAAATAAGGACCACTGCTTCAACAAGTATGAATGCCACCAGCAGCCGATCTCATATGCTCATCACCATCCAGTTCAAACAGGTAGAGTACCAACTTCTAAAGGTGGTATTAAGGGTCACACCATTTCACACCATCTGGGACCACTCAGGTAGGGTGGGGTGATTACTCTTTGAAATCTTTACAGTGCCCTACTACTTCTAGTAGTATTTGACAGATGTAAGCAGGGCTCTTAATCTGATATTAGAAGCATCTCTTTTCCTGCATGTATTATGTATAGGGAACTATTTTATTAGCTTATGGACAATGGAGCACTTACAAATATTTTGGGTACATAACTGGGTGTTATCCAAATGACTCCTATTGTTATCAAACTTCAGTCCATAAACTCTACCTAGCATAGCTAATTGCGATTACTCATGGGGGCTGTGGTCCAGCAACATCTGGAAAGTCATACATTTCCCATGCTTTCCACTTTGGTGAGGACAATTTCACCAACAATTCTTGTTAATTGAATTTCACTTTTGCTAAATTCATGAGCCATCATTAAGTTAGACTTTAGGTAGGTTCATACTCCTTCAACTGTTTGAAGGGGCCTTTCCTTCTCCATAACTGGAGGAAGTCTGGTGAATCAAGGACCCAACCTTATTTAGGAAAGAAATGTATTTCTGTACCATGAACCCTGACAGACAAAGAGAATGGGAGCCTTGAGATTATATGCTTTAGAAGTTTCTCAAAGTTGCCAACCCACCTTTGCAAAGTATGGAAAAATATAGTTTTTATTATAGCTTAGGTATCATTTTTCAACCATGAGTTTTAAATTCACATTTTATTACTACTGCATTTTAATTGTCGTACTATGTGTTTTAATATATGTTTTATTGTATGTGTGTTGATGAATTTTGACTGTGTTGTGCCCCACCTTGAGCCATGAGAACAGGAAGATAACAAATTTACTATTAGTAATAAAATGTACTATTAATACTACAATTTACTATTAATAGTAAAAATTACTATTAGTAGTACAATTTACTATTAGTCATAGGAACCTTCCCGGCCCTGAGATCTTCAGGAGAGGCCATTCTCTCAGTCCCACCTCCATCTCAAGCTCAGTTGATGGGTACAAGAGAGAGGGTCTTCTTGGTGGCTCCCCCTCGACCCTGATCAGGAAAACCAGAATGGCTCCCTTCCTGCTGTCCTTTTGGCAGCAGGCCAAAACTTTTTTTTTCAGACAGGCATTGAAAGATGAAGGTGTTTAAGATCTAGTCAGGGGATGCTGTGGTTTTTAACTTTGAATATGTTTTGATGGGTTTTAACTGTGATTTTGTTTAGTGATGTTTGTGTTTAATTCTATTTTAATGTTTACATATTTGTATAGTTTAAATTATATACTAATGTTTTTTTGTCAAGCTGCTTTGAGTCCCCTTTGGAAGAGATCATGTGGGGTAAAAATAAATACAATAATAGTAGCAGTAGTGTTATTATCATCAATTGGCCCTGTACTGCTAGGAATCAATCCTTCCCCTGTGCTTGTTATATAACCCATTCTCTGTGAATTGTGTCCCTTCTGTTAATTCCCAATGTTATTTCTTTCAGATTTTATTGAGAGAAGATATCACTAAACAATCAATTATAAATCTGGTGGACCTGGCTGGCAGCGAGAGACAAAAGTCTTCAGGATCAGAAGGAGACAGACTGAAGGAAGGCTCACGTGTAAATCTGAGCTTAACCACTTTAGGAAATGTTATCAGGTACAAAACAGGTCAAGTAAAGGAACCTGTGTGTGTCTTGGATACTTCATGACAAAAATGGGGACTAATTTTTGAACCTCATCTAGATTACGGGTGGCCATAGTACAACTCAGAGGCTAGCTGTGGCCCTTGGGAATCACATTTGTAGAATCTGAAGTTTCCCAGTCATCCCCCAAAGCCCCATGGTTTCCTATTTTGGCACATTTTTGAGACAATGTTGCTTCCAAATCTCCCCCAAATATGTTGAAATATGCTAAAATAACATACAGCTCCTACACGTACTATAGAGCCCTGCTTAATAACTCCTGCCCATTACTGTTTTCTCCTGCAGTGTAATAACAGCAGAAGTGTATCTCCTGCTCAATAGCTTTGGATTCATTTTTCTTCTAGTGCTCTGGCTGAGGCCGCCATGGGAAAGAAAGTGTTGCATGTCCCATACAGAGATTCGGTTCTTACAAAACTCTTGCAATCTGCTTTGGGAGGAAACAGCAGAACTATTATGGTAACGTGATCTTTTACTGTGTTTATTTTTCACTGGGATGTTGGGGAAAACATACATTCTACTCTCTATTCCTTATGAAAACTATTATAATTCCCGAGAAAAGCAGATAAGAAAAAGATAAGATGTAAACATAAGCAAAAGACACTGTGATTAAAAAAAAAAGAAAGAAAACGCTAAAACACAAACTGTATAATGTCTTGAAATCACTGTGATTAGCATAGCCTTTCCATTAATACATACCAGGAAAAATGCCTGTCATGAGCGGAAGGGTTGGGTGTAATGGAGTCAATGAGATGGTCATTCACTTTCTATTCTACCTATTATTGATAAGAGAAAATAACTGAAGTGAGAATTCGTTTTGGTTTAATGTACTTAATATGTTCACCTCAGATTGCAGCTATTAGTCCAGCAGACATATGCTATGAGGAGACATTGTCAACACTACGCTACGCTGAGAGGTATGATGTTTTCTCACCTTATATGACAAATGGTTGAACTGGAGCCTATAGTGGGACAGATTTATTTATTTGTTTGTTTGTTTACTATATTTGTATACCGCACCCTCTCAGCCTGCAGGCGACTCAGGGCGGTTAACAAAGGCAACAATTCAATGCCCAACAACAGCATAAAACATTTAAAAATATCCACATATAAAATCATAACAAGATCAATTAAAAATATAAATCATATGTGTCTCTTAATTAAAAACGTTGTCCAAAATCATCATCCAATCGTTCCATATTCCTATGTCTGTTACACTGCCTTGTCAAATGCTTGCTCAAACAGCCAAGTCTTAACTTTTTCTCCGGAATGCTAGAAGGGAGGGGCAATCTAATGTCCCCAGGAAGGGTGTTCCATAGCCGAGGAGCCACCACTGAGAAGGCCGTCTCTCGTCCCCACCATTCTGTTTGTAATGCCAGCAGGAATGAGAGCAATTGAGTATAAACCATTCCAGTACAGCAAATTCTCATTTATGTGTGTACATAGAGTGTTCTGAAACACACCTGATCTTCTGGTGTCACTGAAATTTAGTTCTGAGTGCACAAACACACTTCTAATTTATAACTTTGGCAGTTTTTAAGTACTCATGGACTGGGTTATTGTAGGTTTTTTCGGGCTATATGGCCATGTTCTAGAGGCATTCTCTCCTGACGTTTCGCCTGCATCTATGGCAAGCATCCTCAGAGGTAGTGAGGTCTGTTGGAACTAGGAAAATGGGTTTATATATCTGTGGAATGACCAGGGTGGGGCAAAGGACTCTTGTCTGCTGGAGCTAGGTGTGAATGTTTCAACTGACCACCTTGATTAGCATTTGATGGCCTGGCAGTGCCTGGAGCAATCTTTTGTTGAGAGGTGATTAGACGGCCTTGTTTGTTTCCTCTCTGTTGTTTGCTGTTGTAATTTTAGAGTTTTTTAATACTGGTAGCCAGATTTTGTTCATTTTCATAGTTTCCTCCTTTCTGTTGAAATTGTCCACATGCTTGTGGATTTCAATGGCTTCTCTGTGTAGTCTGACATGGTGGTTGTTAGAGTGGTCCAGCATTTCTGTGTTCTCAAATAATATGTGGTGTCCAGGTTGGTTCATCAGGTGCTCTGCTATGGCTGACTTCTCTGGCTGAAGTAGTCTGCTGTGCCTTTCATGTTCCTTGATTCGTGTTTGGGCACTGCGAATCAAGGAACATGAAAGGCACTGCAGACTACTTCAACCAGAGAAGTCAGCCATAGCAGAGCACCTGATGAACCAACCTGGACACTGCATATTATTTGATAAAATTACAACAGCAAAACAACAGAGAGGAAACAATCAGTAGTCAGATTTGGGCATATCAAGCATTTGTGCCAAATTTGGTCAAATAAATGAAAATACATCCTGCATATCAGATATTTACATTACAATTCATAACAGTAGCAAAATTACAGTAGCAGTGAAAATAATTTTATGGTTGGGAGTCACCACAACATAAAGAACTCTATCAAGCATTAGGAAGGTTGAGAACCACTGCTGTAAGAGGAACAAGGGTCAACACTCAACAGTTATGTTGGCATAATTATCACTTTGCACAGTCCCACTTACTCCTTCAGATTAAGTTTACATATATATATTTGTTTTCCCCTCTGTTTTTCAACTGCAAGAACAAAAAAGATAAAAAACAAAGCAGTGATAAATACAGGTCCAACAGCAAAGCTGATAAATGAGCTGAAGGCAGAAAATTGTAACCTGTTCTCCAGATTGTCAGATCTTGGAAACTCTGGTAAAAAAGTGGAAGATGAAACAAGTAAGTACCATCTATTTTGAAGAACGAACATAACATTTAATATTAAAAAGATCCGTGAGTTGGTGCTTTGTTTTGTTTTGTTTTGTTTTTTGTAATAGCTCCCATTTTCTGAGAGTTAATGTAAAATGACCACATTTTGGATCCAACAGCATTTTGGGTATCTTTAGATTACTGCGTACTCCTGACACTGAACTGGTGTTTGTAGTACGCTCCTTGTTAATTAGATTTTGCTTTATACTCTTTGGCCGTGAACTACTTTTATGTTTGAATATTTTAAGTAAAATGGTTTTTGAGACAAGCTGGTTTTGTTTTTGGTTCACCTCTGCTTGAATACTGGTAGAGCCCTGCATAATGACAGTCACTGCCATCCATGTGGACAATTTCAGATTTTTGATCTGAAGTGATTTACGTTATTGTTTTAAGTAAAATAGTTTTTGAGATAAGCTGGGTGCTGTTTTTGGTTCACCTCTGCCTGCATACCGGTAGAGCCCTGCATCATGACAATCTCAGCCATCAATGTGGACAACTTCAGATTTTGGATCATTTTGAATTTTGGAATTTGAGATATGGGATGTGCAGCTTGCACATGACATTATCCCTTGCATGGTGTGATTGCCTGATTTCCACCACCTTTCACTTGCAGACTTGCCCACCAAATCTCCTGAATTTGCGAGCATTTTTCATGGAAGGACAGTAGCATAGAATACTGCAGGAGGGAGGGAAGAGGACAAACTTGATATCTCATCATCAAAATTCAGCGAATTATTCTTGAAATTATACAGGGTATTAAGTTAGAAAGAAGAGAAAGAAGAGATAGATTACCTCCTTGGAAAAGTTTAGCAATACAGTATGTGTGTCTGTATAATGTCTGTATTAAAAATAGTTTATTCTACTATAAAATTAGTCACTTTCAGAAACTTCCTTCTAATATTCAAACTGAATTTTTCTTCCATCAATTCAAAGGAATCCTATTTTCTTGAGCATCAAAAACATGTATGAAAAGATGTTATTAAAATGTTAGTATTTGTAAGCAAATTTACTTCTTACATATTACACAGCAAATGAAAACTGCTTTTTCTCTCTGATAACTCTTTATGTGCAGGAGTGTATGGGTCTGGTTGTTCATTTTCTACCTGCAAACATGCATTACTTGGCTTATGAGATACACTATTATATCTCATGAAGTGTCAGAGAATACATTTGCTACCTGATTCTCTTGCCTTCTGCCACTGGAAGTGCACCATTATTCCTAGCCCTTTTGGTTTTATTTAGCAGTATGGACATTTGCTTCAAGATCGGTTTTTCACTCTTTGCAGAAGAGCTTCGTTGTTTACTTGTTGAAAATGAACTGAGGATTCAAGCCATTCAAGCTACCTGGGAATATCGGCTGGAAGAAGCCCGGAAGGAATGGGAGCAGCAATATGCCGCAGTCACTCAGGTCAGGAGTGCTGGATTGCTTTCTGTCCAACCCCACCCATTTTATAGCTCAACCATGACCAAGCTGGTGGTCTCCAGATGTGTTGGACCTCAACATCAATCACCATGATCATTAGTTATGCTTACTGGGTAATGAAGGGGACTCAACATGTTTAAGGGAGAATTTGGGAAGAACTTTTAGATGTACCTTCTAGCTTGCCTTTCTAGAAGAAATATTCTGGACTAAATGATACTTTGATCCAATTGGGTAGTTTTTTTGTTTTTAAAATATATGCTTTAAATTTATTTGTATGTTTTTTTTTAAGAACGATGCCTGGTTAATATGATTACCAGAGCAAAATGGCATTTGTTTGTATATCTCTGCAATTTTTGCCCTTGTTCTCACAATTATTTCCTTGTTAAAACAAACAAGAGAGAGCTGTCCATGCTGGGGGTCAGGGGACAGGAGAGCTTTGTGTACAAGTGAGATTGCTCTGCTTACATGACTTTATTAGACTGAGATTAGCAATGGATGCTTCTGATTCTTTTCATCTGTGTGAAAGGTATTACACAGATACTGTTGAGGACTGATGTGAGGATTGAGGGAATCAAATGGAAAACACAGGTCTGGGAATATTCAATTGCATGGACCAAGGAGCTTTCTACCATTAATAGAATTGGTCCCTGGTTTGATGGCAACTTACAAAGCTGCACATGAATTTGCTCATAGGTTAATAAAAATGGAATAAAAGAAATTATTATTTTACAGAATTTCAGGTAAAATTGAATAATTATATCAAGATTCCTGATTTTATTTTATGTTACCTTATAATCATTTCATATAAGGAAGTACTAATATTTTAATATGAATAAGTAAATAAGTGAATGTCTTCAAATGTACCTATGAACACTTACCTAGATTTTTCATCAGAGTAAAGATCTGTGAAATAACATCTGGGCATATGGGTTTCTTTCTGAATCCTTTGGGAAAGTAGTGTGAATTCCGTACAGTCTTTCACTCAGCACAAATTGCTGGTCTTAGGTGTCTTTAATTCTAGTTCTATATATTCTGCATCAAGCTCCAGTTAGAACTAGATTGAACCTGTGGATCTCAGAAAAAAAGTAAAACCAATTCAAATATAACGCTATGCAACAATATTTGCAAGGTTTTCTGTTCCTGGCTTGAAAGTATTATTTCCTGTTTAATTACGCGGTACTTACTTTTAAAGTAGTTGCTATACACCAGAAACTTCATTTTTGTGGCTGCCACAAACTGTGTTGAACTGGTTGAGACTGTTATCAGATATTAATTGAAAAACTAAAGCAAAATGTGTTGAAGGATGTCCCACAAAAACAAAGTTTTTGCAGTTTAATAAACATTTTCCATGTTTTTTAAAATGATAGAACCAGTTAGGAAATGGCATTTATAACTCAGGAACAAAAATTATAGTTCCTGCAAGCCTGAGACTCACCTAGTCCAGCTACAGTATTGGTGAGCATAAATGGGCTGAAATGAGGTTTAATGAATTCTTCTACAGGAGAGATGGATGGTGGAAACATTTCCTTACATTGTGAATATCAACGAAGACCCTCAACTTTCAGGTGTTCTCAAGTACTTTGTTCAAAAAGGTATTCTTTTCTTTTTTAAGCGTGTTTGTTGCTGAAATGAAGGGTTTGTTATACAGTTATTAAAGATCATCAGCGTAAACAATTACATTCAGTGTAACCTAAGTGAAAGAGACAATGAGCTTACCATCTAACAAGCTACAAGTCCTCACATCCCACTCTAACCACCATACCACACTGGTTATCAGAACAGCTTATTGCATTATGAGAGAGCAGCCCTGCCAGAAATGCTGTTTCTCTATGAATAAGATTGTGTTTTGAGGACAACAAAGTGTTTATTCATTTGGGAATGGATCATAGAATCATGAAGTTGGAAGAGATCACAAGGGCCATCCAGTTCAACATCCGTCAAATGGGAATTCCATGTAATTACATTTTTGTTCTTTTTCTGTTTTTTATACTCTGTTTTATTATGTTATTGTTACTATTTTATTGTTTTATTATGTTATTGTATAAGCATTTTTGCTTGATGTTGTCATGTGTCTTGTATGTATTTATTTTGCTTTATTGTAATTGTTTGGACTTGTCCCCATGTTAGTCGCCCCAAATCCCCTTGGGGAGATGGAGGCGGGGTACAAATGGAGTTATTATTATTATTATTATTATTATTATTATTATTATTATTATTATTTTCTGTGCCTGAAATATGAACAAAAATGGCAAGAATGTGAATTCTTTCAAGATCTTTTTTCTTCAATTCTGAAATTGTAATAAAACATGCCAAAGACTCTTAAAAAATGTGACAGTGGCCTAGGAAAGGGTGAAATATATTTTAGTCAAGGTTCATACTTTTAAAAGTTGTATATTACATTTATATTTTCTCCCAGTCAGCTGACTATAGCCCACACAAAGTAGTTTCGTCATTAGTTTTTCATGTGTAAATCAAGCCTTGTATAAACAAGACAAAGGTAATATTTTGTTATATATTTATAAAATATTACAGTATATAATGTTATATATTATAATATTAATAAAAGCAAAATAAAGCATTTGGGGAAAAGCTAGTTTACCAAATGCTGAAAACTATATGGTGGTTTGGTGCTATGGGCTGCATCCCAGTCCCAAACCTTTACTAACCTAACTTACCACCTGAATTTAGCTATCTGTGAAGCACATTTCCTGATAGTCTCCCACCAGTAGTCTATACTATAGACTGGGAGTAATGGAAGTCCATACAACTGTTTCTAGAAAAAAAATACCAAAATGAATGAGAAGATCTGGGCCACTATAGGTTTTCATATGAAGGCAAAGAAAAACATTTTTATACAACACATTATTTTTGTTCAGGTTCTTCTGAAGTTGGTCAGTCATCCTCAAATGCAATAATTCTGAGAGGTCTGGGGTATGTATATGAACTCATTGCTTTTCTGTCCTTTATTTCCAGGAAAATTGCAAGGGCCACATGGTAATTTGATTTAGCTTTATTTCCAAATCATTAGTAGGGCAGGAGATTAAAGGGAATGTAAGAAATATTCATCAGTCTTGAGCTCCCTGAAATTACGCTCACTCTTACTCACTTTACTAGGATAAAAGAACTCTACAAGACAATACAAACAATTATTTCTTTGTACTTTTAGTTTGTAATAATTCCACTTAGTTTATCTCAGACCATTTGCTCTTGTCTTGTATGTGCTATTAGAAATGATGGGACTTCTAATTAAAAATGCATGGTTGGCACCACATGGGGAAAGGCTGTTTTAGGTAATATTCTCCTTCCTATGCATGAGTTTCTTAAACTCATTCAACCTTATCTCATGGGGGAGTCTCTCCCCATGCCATTTCTGCAGCAGGCTTAGTGAAATGGCAAGTGAGAGGGATAACTCTGTTGCTTTGTGTGCCACTCAGATGCAGAGATGCTTTCCCCATCATATGGGGGAAGTGTCGCCTAGTTTCTTCAAAACTCTTGGTTATAGTTCATCTGGCCCTGGAGACTTAAATTTATTTAGAGTACCAGGTATTCCTGGACTTCTTGCTTTTTTGCTTTGTTTCTCTTTCTTTCTTTCTTTTCTTCCTTTACCATATTTATACCCCACCTTTCTCGCTCTGTAGGGGACTCAAGGTGGCTTACATATATAGGCAGCGAGTTGATGCCATAGGAATATACATAGTAAAATAAACATATACATTAAAACAGTCATTAAAAACACATCAAACCTTAATATCACTTATTTAAAATAATGCAATCCAATATCATCGTCTTTACTTATTTTGGATTGCATTTCCCCTATTACCTCGTCTTCTCTCTGTTGTTCAGGTTGATACCGATCTCCTTTTGGGAGAAGACTGTGGCAAAGAAGGTGTTGAGCAGCTCTGCCATTTCCCTATCCTCTGTTAGCATTTCACCACTTTCTCCTCGCAGAGGCCCTACCGTTTCCTTTTTGTTCATTTTTCTGCTGACATAGCCAAAGAGCCACTTTTTATTGGTTTTAATCTCTCTGGCAAGCCTGAGTTCATTTTGTGCCGTAGCCTTACAAACATTCTCCCTACATATGTTGGTTATTGGTTTGAATTCATTTTTGGTGATTTCCTCCTTTTCCATTTTTTGTGCATGTCTCTTTTAAATCTTAGCTCAGTTAAAAGTTATTTGGACATTCATTCTGGTTGTTTTACACTTCTATTTTTTCTCCTTGCCGGCACTGTTTGCAATTGTGCCTTCAGTAACTCCCTTCTCTTTTAGTATTTCTGTCCATGGAATCACACTCAGTATTTCCTTAAATTTCCTGAAGTTTGTTTTCCTAAAGTCTAGAATGCATGTTTGACTACTCTTAGTTTCAGCCTTCCCTTGTATCACAAAAATGGTCACTCTCAGCTAAGGATCTCACCACTTTGACACCATTGACCAGGTCCTCGGTGTTGGTTAAAATCAGATCCAGAATAGCTGATCCTCTTCTTGCCTTTTCTACCTTCTGGACAATAAAATTATCTGCAAGTCAAGGGAGGAATTTGTTGGATTTTGTACTGTTGGCTGTGTTTGTTTTCCAACAAATATCAGAGTAGTCGATAAGTCCCCCAAAGCCCTTTTGCAGCCATGAAAAGATGGATGAAAGGAAGCCAAAGAAAAGAGAAGGCTATACGCCTTTTAAATAGGTTTTAGGATCTTCCATCATATTTCACAGCTTTTAAAATTTCTTTGTCAGAACAAGACATGGATATCTCACCAAAAACCCAGTTTATGCAGCGCATGCAGCCTACTGAAGGTCCTAGGGATCAAAGGTTTTCCCTAGGATCCACCAAAGTCGGCCACTCCAAACTTTCTCAAATGTGGACTCTTTAATTGTAAATGAACTTGGGGTTTTCTGCATTCAGGATCTGGGCTCAGAGACTTTTTTAGACCCTTCCCACCAGATTGGCCTTTAAAACATCGGAGAGCCCTCTATGAATGCCTTGTATATTATTACTACTCCTTTCTAATATGCAGTGCTCAAAAAGAAAAGTACCAGTGTGGTCTTTTACTCCCAAGAACAAGAAGCTGTCATCCAATTTTCTGTGTCTCTCTTGAGCTCTGCCAGTGTTTCACAGAACTAAAACACATTTTTACGCCAGGTAAGAGAATTAAATTTTTTATCTTGGATTTTAAAAAATATATTTGTCTTCCTCTATTTCAGTATTTTGGATAAGCACGCAACATTTACAAATGCTGATGGCAAAGTTACAATAACTCCTCGGGATAAGTGTAAAGTCATTGTCAATGGGGTCCCCATTGTTGTAAAAACCAAACTACAACACCTGGTGAGTTATTTATGATTGGAATTCATTTGTTAACAAGTTTCCCCTGCTCTCATGTGTTTCCTGCTTTATTTCATTAAGTAAGCAAGCTAGAGGGGGGAAATGAATTTTACATTATGCCCTGATCCACTGAGTTATTGCCAACACATAGGTGGAGCCCCCGATGGCGCAGTGGGTTAAAGCGCTGAGCTGCTGAACTTGCTGACCAAAAGGTTGCAGGTTCTAATCTGGGGAGCAGGATAAGCTCCTGCAGTTAGCCCCAGCTTCTGCCAATCTAGCAGTTCGAAAACATGCAAATGTGAGTAGATCAATAGGTACCGCTCAGTCGGGAAGGTAACAGCGCTCCATGCAGCCATGCTGGCCACATGACCTTGGAGGTGTTTACGGACAACAGCTTAGAAATGGAGATGAGCACCAACACCCAGAATCGGACATGACTGGACTTAATGTCAAGGGAAAACCTTTACCTTTACCTAGATGTCAATGGTTCCCCATAATCAAACTATCCCATATTTACTTACAGTTACTTTTCTTATCTGGACTGCTAAAAGGAACCTGGAATCTATTGAGAGCTAATTGAGAAAGCTAACAAAAAAAGGGACGGAGAGAGGAATCTGGAACTCTGTGTAGTATATTATAAGGTAACATCTAAACTAAACCAGCACAATATTCTTGCAACAACCAAGTTGAAAACAGCAATCCTGGTCCTATTCTGGCCTTGCATGGGTCTGGCCAGCTTCCCTATGGTTTTCCAGCCAAAAGTTGGAGCTCTCAAATCAAGTTAATGTTTCAGAGCAAAAGCAGGGGAGCTCTCAGCGAACAAGTTTTCTTTGAGAGTAGACTGATGCTCCACCCCATCACAACTCTAGCCCTTCTTTGATGTTTCACTCCATCACAACTCTGCACCTTCCTACCAAGTGGGGGGCTTTAAAGAGACAGGATTTGGATTGGAGTTTAGCACTTCTCAGTCATCAATCATGAATAGTGTATTTTCAAAAGCCTGTACCAATTTAAATTCAATGGTGGAGGAAGACTATGATTGAGAGGGCAATTACTTTTTAAAATTCACATATTGATTGTGTTGCTAATGGGTTTTGAGCTGGTAATATCTTCTTGGTTCACAGTTCAAACACTTTACAACTAAAAACAGTATCCTTGGCAAATTTCTGAGCTCAACTTTCAGGTACTGGAAACACAAATGCACTCAGTGCAATGCAACGCGATGCAAATAATTTCAGCCAGCACGATGTACTTGTTCTCTCAGGATCGTATTATTTTGGGATCGAACAATGCCTACCTCTACATTGGTCCACCTACTGATCGCACCAGGGAGGATCTGAGCAGATATGATTATGATTTTGTTCAGTCGGAGCTGGCAGCCGCAGAAGGTTTCAGTGTAGATACACTTAGTAAGTAAGAATTGTGATGATGGTGCACTTCTACTTTTATAGATTTCTTGTTCCTGATATATTTGTTGTTGCAGATGTGTTAATAGCAACTTGAAGCTGTGGGGTGCATATCTTAATAGCCAAGTAAATTACACAAGTGTACAATTGGTGGTAATCTTGTGGAGTTGGGAAATGTTTTCTTTTTAATTCAGACCACTGACAAGTACTGCTGTGATATTTCAGGACACCTTGAACAATGGGTGCAATGGGGGTGCAAGTGCATGTTTTTTTGTTTCATTGGGTCCCACGTGTGCCAATTCTTTGGGGCTTCTACCACACCATGGACAGAATCCAATATGCCATTTACAAGATATCTAACCACCGCAACGTGCACAATAACAAACATGTAATTCGGAGTGGGATGATAAAAACATGTCTGAAAAGGAATCCAACACAAAGCAGTGGCAATGAGAAAGCTTAATGTCACAAGTATTGTCAATACTTTCTGACCTTATTATCTACAAACTCACTCCCAATCACGTGTAATCATATACATACCTGAAATTCTCAGGAAGACTTCATGCTTATAATGTTGTAGACTTCATAAAAGCTCAGGCCGTAGTAAATCTGTAAGCAATTAAAGTGCCACAGAACTCTCTGTTGGTGTTTCTACAGCAAATTCAAAACACTTATATGACCTGGGTCTGGGTTAGTCAATGGACTCATACAGGTAGGTTTAGTCCTTCAAAGTTCTGAAATCTATAGGAGAGGCCCTTCTTTCTGTTCCTAACACCTTCTTAGACTTGTTTGGTGAAAACAGGGAAGAGGGTCTTCTTTGTGGCTTCTCTTAGACTTTGGAATTCATTCCTTAAGGAGATCAGGATGAATCCCTCCTTCCTCTCCTTTTTAATATGGTATTGTAATTATGGTAATTATGGTGCAATGTCAAACGCTATATGTTTTATGTTTGTCTATGTCCAGGATTTCATAGTTTACTGTTTTCAATCTATTGTTATATGCTATTTCAGTTATGTGATGTATTTTATATCTCGTGAGGCATTGAATTTTGCCATTTACTTTTTCTGTGAACCGCTTTGAGTTCCCCCAGGGGTGAGAAAAGAAGTATATATATATATGAAATAAATAAATAAATACATAAATAAACTTTATACATTGTAAATGTTTATACTTACACTTTTTATTGCTGTTTTTGCATAATTTTAACCTGTATTATATTAATAATTGGTCAGATGCTTTGAGTTCCATTCCTGGGAGAAAGGATGAATATAAATGAAAGAACGAACATGAATACATAATTTCTTTCTATAATAATTAAAGCTTTGTTTGTTTAGAATTAACACTCTGTTTCCATTCTCAAAGGTTCTGCAAATAGGAAAGATGGCAAACCAGATCCCAGTGTCCTTGCTGTCTTCCATGATTATCTTAAGTTAATGCCCCTGGTTGCTGAAGCAAATCAGATGAGTGTGGAGCTGAAGAAGGTCTGTTTGAATGAGTAGAGTACATATCTCATGGTTTACTGCAAGGGTGGAACTAGTTTGTACATTAAGCACATCTTATAGTGCATGCAAAATTATTCATTCTGAGAATCCAAATAAAAGATGTATGAGGAACATATTTGTCTTTCTTCAAGGCAGATTACCTTTCCTTCAGCACTCACAGTGAACTTCAAAGTGGCTTTCCATGGCTAAATAGGACTTTGAACACACACAGTGATTTCAGTCAAATCACACTCCCTTAAATTAAGAGGAAAACATTATGATTCAATATTTCAAAGAAAACCCTCTGATAGGGTTTCTATAAGGAAAGACACATAAAACAACTGGATACTAAAGCCATTGGTTGCTGAAATCAGATGAGTGTGGAGCAAGACTGCATTCAAGGTTTAGTAGAATGTATTCAGTGTCTCTTATTGTTTTAACCAGTATGTCTGCGACTCTCCAACTACAAACTGCCCAACATCTCTCTGTTGCAGACCACAACAATAACATGTCCAGTATACATTATACTATCTACACAGTTTATGGCTATTATCAAATTCCGTGTTATTGCATGCAATCTAATGTTACAGATTTATGTTTTTATCATTCATTTTGGGAGTTTGTGGGAGAAAAAAAATCTCAAATATGTGAAATATCAACAGTTCAGATTTTGTCTTTTATAAAAGGGAAACTAAAATGGAAATGGGACAGCAACTCTTCAAATATCTAAAATAAAAACTGTTAACAACTTTCTTTTGTAGGAATTTGGCAAAATAAGTTTGAATTGTGAGCAGTAAGCAAAGTCCCCATGTTGCTATTCATAATTACTTTGCTGTTATAATGCGTTTGGATATGATGGCTTTATAAAATGGATGACAGGTTGCAATACAAAACCATTCTGAGAGGCTTTTCTTCAACAGGATTTAGAGATGGAATTGAAAGTGAAGAACTTGGCATCTTCTGACTCAAGAGGCTACGACCTGCAAAAAGAGGTCATTGTGAAAGTGGCAAACAAAGTTACTAACCAGGTAAAAAGGTTCAGCCATTAGTTCTGCTTTTCCCCCAGTGGTATCACTAGGGACTTATGAGGTTGCAAACCATACCTTGTTTTGTTTTTTTATCATGTCAGAAGTGACTTGAGAAACTGCAAGTTGCTTCTGGTGTGAGAGAACTGGCCATCTGCAGAGATGTTGCCCAGGGGATTCCCAGATGTGTTACCATCCTGTGGGAGGCTTCTCTCATGCCCCTGCATGAGAAGCTGGATTTCTCATTGGTTCAAACCGTCGACTTTTAGGTCAGCAGTTCAGCCAGCACAAGGGTTTAACCCATTGTGTCAGTGTGGCTCCACCACACCTAGATGACAACGTCAAAGGGGGGGGGGGGGTTGACATCAAAATGATTATAACATTTTTGTGCAGGATTGTTTTCAGCAAAAATGTGTTATTTTTATTAAGGATAGTTCTGTAGTTAGTTAAATAAAGTTAGTTAGTTAATATAGTTCTGTAGTTAGTTAAACCACAAAAATATTTTTGTGAAGACAGCTTACATATAAAGTGTACATGCAAGTTAACCAAAATTCTATGCTATACCAATATACTATTTAAACTAATGTATATACACTCCAGTCAGAACTGTCATTATTAGCGATTGCATTCATCTGATGGCAAAGAAGCAACTTCTGTCCCAAATTTAATGCTTGCAGCTACTTCTAGGACCTAAGGTGGTAACGTTGGTATCGTCGTTGTTGAGGATGTGGGCTGCAGTCATGATGAATAGGAGTAGTGAATAGTAGTAGTGAAGACTCAGTCTGTGGTTAGGCCTGCACCCATTCTATCCAATTTTTGCCAGGTTGCGGTGAGGATACTGTGTCATATATAGCTGTAGGTAGGAATGGAAAGTTTTGTCCGTACCTTTACAAGTAATGTAACATAGTACAAAAATTACTAAGTGTTCTTCTGTGTAGTCTGGTATAGGAAGAGATTCATAAGAGTGACACCATGAGTGACTGGGTAATACCAACCTTAGTGACACCACTATTTTGTATTAATAGAAGATTGCATTAAGAAAGATGTACATTTCAGCAAAAACTTGTTTTGAGACAAAGTAGACTTTCCATACTCATCCAAGATTATGTGACATGACATAGGGAAGGAGGAGCAGGCTTGTTTTCTGCTGCCCTGGAGAACAATGGCTTCAAACTACACGAAAGGAGATTCCACCTGAACATGAGGAAGAATTTCCTAACTGTGAGAGCTGTCCAGCAGTGGAACTCTTTGCCTTGGAGTATAGTGGAGGCTCCTTCTTTGGAGTCTTTTAAATAGAGGCTGAATGGCTATCTGTCGGGAGTGCTTTGAATGTGATTTTCCTGCTTCTTGGCAGGGGGTTGGACTGGATGACCCATGAGGTCTCTTCCAACTCTATGATTCTAGTTTGAATGAGGTACATTATGAAACAAAAGCCCCAAACCTAGTTATCAAAGGTACTTACACTTTTTCCTCTACTTGGCCCAAGGCAATACTCAACTCAGTTTTTAAGAATTTGCATTTGATCTTTGGGAAGGTGAGACGGGCATCTTATACATGCATGGGGCTAATATGATTTTGTCTAATCTGAATACATGAGATAGAACTTAATGTCTTAAAGTACTCTTATTTTTCTAGGTGTGGATATGGTCAAAGCCTAAGTTCATCAATAGGAAGTTTTTAATGGAAGAGCTTTATCAATGTTTTTTGGATGGAGAAGATGTGCAAGTTGACAAAGAGAATGATCCATTCTGGGATCCTGTGGAAGTAATTCATTTAGGGTCAGCCCATATCTGGCTCCAGTCCCTTGCTTACTGCATGAAACTCGAAGAACAAACAGAACTCTTGAATTCTGAAGGAATGGAGGAGGCCATCATACTAATCAATATAATCCCGTGTTCTCCAAATGGGAGGTGAGTCTGCTATTTTGACAATGGAATGAAAACTGATTTTTCGGAAAACCTACCAGGATTTGTGCCTAAATCTAAGCTTTCAAAGCCCCAAGGCACAAAGAGAAAGATGCAACAACTATGCTTTCCCCCTCCTTCTCCTACTGTTTGCTTTCTTTCCCCCCATTTGCTGTAGAGTAAGGAGGAAGAGCAATGAAGATCACAACATTGGGTGCATCTCTCTCACTTCCTTACACTTCTTTAAAACACAGATGTGTCCCCTGTGTACAGATCCGGCTACTCTGTTTCTTCCCATTCCTTCTGAAGATTATGGATAGGAATTTTAATCCAATATTAAAAAGTATTTGAAAAGTGACTATTTGGAATAATGGAGTCAAATTTGATTTGGCTAAGACTTTATATTATCCTCCATGATTTGTAATACAGAATTTTTGTTTCAATGTAACACCAAATGATGCATTATTGTCCTATGGCCAAGCCTCATGGTTACGTATGTTATCCTTAGGAAAAGCCAAAAGGCAACTAGGACTATTTGTCTTAAGTTTCAATCACAACTTGTTGTTCTGTTTGAACTGTCTTAGTTATCATTAATATGGTTGTCATCCTGTTCATAAATTGTGATGGTGTAGGTCCGACTTATGCCATCACAATTCACTTTTATGGTAATTGTGAAAGTTTACTCTGACCGCACAGCAACCAATGCCACTCATGCATACCTATCTTTTAAGTATTGCAGCCCTTTGGACATTCATTCTAATGCTGCCAAAGAATGGGGGATATTTTTCTTGAGCCACACCAAAGGAGAAGAGGGAAGCTTCTTCATTCACGAATGATGGGGATTTGTCTCTTGTCTATCCTATTTACAAACCCATTCTGTGGTCTGCACTGATCTTGTTCTGGGAAAGTGGAAGTGACCAGATCATGTCTGCTTCTTATGAAAATGGAGCTTGGTGTAAAACAAAGCACAGAGGTGGGCTGCAGCTTGTTTTAGACCAGCGTTTCTCAACTTGGGGATCAGGGCCCCTGGGAGAGTCGTGAGGGGGTGTCAGAGGGGTTGCAAAAGACCATCAGAAAACACAGTATTTTCTGTTGTTCATGGGGGTTCTGTGAGGAAAGATTTCATCCAATTCTATCGTTGGTGGAGTTTAGGATGCTCTTTTATTGTGAACTATAAATCCCAGCAGCTACAACTCCAAAATGTCAAGTCTATTTTCCCCAAACTCCACCAATGTTCACATTTGGGCATATTGACTATTCGTGCCAAATTTGGTCCAGATCCATCATTGTTTGAGTCCACAGTGCTCTCTGGAGGTAGGTGAACTAAAACTCCAAAACTCAAGGTCAATCCCCTTCAAACCCTTTCAGTATTTTCTGTTGGTTTTGGGAGTTCTGTGTGCCACGTTTAGTCCAATTCCATCGTTAGTGGAGTTTAGAATGCTCTTTGATTGTAGGTGAACTACAAATCCCAGCAACTACAACTCCCAAATGACAAAATCAACCCCCCCCACCCCACTAGTATTAAAATTTGTGCCAAATTTTGTCCAGTGAATGAAAATGCATACTGCATATCAGATATTTACATTACAATTAATAAAAGTAGCAAAATTACAGTTGTGAAGTAGCAACGAAAATAATTTTATGGTTGGAGGTCACCAAAAGTATTAAGGGATTGTGGCATTAGGAAGGTTGAGAACCACTATTTTTGATCCTTGGTGGCTTCCAGAGAATTGATGTGTGACTGAGTTTTTCCATGTTTGGGGAAAGGTCTTAAATGTCAGATATACAATTGTGTGGGTGCACTATTTCCAGAGGCTACACTATCCTAAGCATTGCTTTCAACTTTTCAATTGGTTTAACATTGCATTAACACAAACATTTCAATGTTACATCCAAACAAGGTCCCTCCCAATGCCACCTTGTGATTCATCATTATTTTCTCTCCTAATTAGAATCTTTGGGGAGGATGACATGATTATTGATCCTCTGGAGTTGCTTGGTAAAAGGATTGATTTCCAGATCCACATTTTACAGTGCCTTGGAATCAAATGGATTAAAGAAGTGGCACATAGAGGGATACAGATTGGGTAATGTTATTTTGCTCTTTGAAGAAAAAGGTTAGAGCTATGTTATAAAAGCGTCTGAGGAAAACTGTTATTCTTGTGTTGAGCTTTTTTGTTGCTGAAATTGTGACATTTTAACTATACAAACTATGACTATGAAAATTAACTTTGAAAAGAAATGATTTCCTGAAATATATGTCTATGACATGAGCATACCTTTGCAACCTCCCCAGATTTGTTATGGAAGGTTCCTGCAATCCTCTAATGGAGACTGAAGTTGAAACTGAGAGTGCATCCACACTGTAGAATTTATATAGTTTGAAACCAACTTATCTACCATGCCTGAATGCCATGGAATCATGGGAGCTGTAGTATTACAAGGTCTGTAGCCATGTAATACTACAAGGCTACAGATCTTGTACTACAGTCTAGTGCCTCAATAAATTACCACTGCCATGATTATGTAGCATTGAGTTCTGACAGGTTTTTTTGTGGAGGTCAGGAGTGACTTGAGAAACTGCAAGTCGGTCCTGGTGTGAGAGAATTGGCTGTCTGCAAGCCTGGATGTTTGATGTTTTAGCATCCTGTGGGAGGCTTCTTTCATATTCCCACATGGGCAGCTAGAGCTAACAGATAGGAGTTCACCCCACTGCTTGGATTAGAACCACCAACCTTTCAGTCAGCAGTATCAGCCAGCACAAGGGTTTAACACATTGCACCACCGGGGGCTCCGTCTGACAGTTAAAGTGGTGTCAAACTGCATTAATTCTGCTACGTAGAAACATCTTGGGAGGAGAGCTTCAGTGGAGAGTGGAAATCTCCCCTCCTCATTCCACAAACGGAGGCCATTCTATCATTCAGTTACTCTAATTAGATTCTGTCTGTGTTGTTGATTTCTTTGGAGATTGAACTTCATTTTGAGTGTTAGGTGGAATTTTTTTGCCCTTTTAGATATAAAATTTACGACCTCTCTTGCTCGTTATACACAAAACCTACTTGGAGAAATGTGAACCCGAAGATAGATGAAGTCATGAGATTTTCGGCTATGAAGACATCCCATGATTTTTTGAATTACCTGCAGAAAAATGCTTTAATAATTGACTTGTGGGGGCTTCAAGGTATTTTGTTTGATTTATTGTGGTAAAATCATGTATATCATGTATTCATATTTTGTTTGTATCTGAAGGGTTGAAAATTGTGTGTGTGTGTGTGTGTGTGTGTGTGTGTGTGTCTGTGTGTGTGTGTGTGTGTCAGGAGTGACTTGAGAAACTGCAAGTCACTTCTGGTGTGAGAGAATTGGCCGTCTGCAAGGATGTTGCCCAGGGGATGCCTGGATGTTTTACCAGCCTGTGAGGGGCTTCTCTCATGTCTCCACATGAGAAGCTAGAGTGATAGACAGGAGCTTACCTCTCTCCCCGAATTCGAACCATCGACCTTCGGTCAGCAGTCCTTTTGCGTCACCAGGGGCTCCAAGGGTTGGAATGCAAATACATGTATTCTTCAGTTAATTAAATAGATGTATTCATGGGATTTAATGCTTTGACAGGACAGGAATAGTTTCTAACATTAAAAAGAGAAGTTCAGTGTATTTTGGTCAACTGTGTAAATGTAAAATGAAACCAGATTTTAGAAGGGCATCATCCCACAATAGAACACTTTTTTGCCCATTTACTCCCCTTTGTCATCTGTATCATCTTAATTTCCTATGCCTATTCCAGAGTGTTAGAGAAGAATGTTGCCATATTTGTCCCATTCGATTACTATTGGTTAGTCTCAACTAAGTCAATCCATTAAATCAAAAACTATTGATTCACTAGAACTGCACTGATCAGGAGGAACAACCAAATTTGGACCAATGTTAGGTTATTGTAGTTTTTTTCGGGCTATATGGCCATGGTCTAGAGGCATTATCTCCTGACGTTTCGCCTGCATCTATGGCAAGCATCTTCAGAGATAGTGAGGCCTCACTACCTCTGAGGATGCTTGCCATAGATGCAGGCGAAACGTCAGGAGATAATGCCTCTAGACCAGGGGTCCTCAAAGTTTTTAAACAGAGGGCCAGGTCACAGTCCCTCAAACTGTTGAAGGGCCAGATTATAATTTGAAAAAAAGCATGAATGTATTCCTATGCACACTGCACATATATTATTTGTAGTGCAAAAAACACTTAGAAACAATACAATAATTAAAATGAAGAATCATTTTAACAAATATAAACTTATTTGTATTTCAATGGGAAGTGTGGGCCTGCTTTTGGCTGATGAGTAGGATTGTTGTTGTTGTTGTTGTTGTTGTTGTTGTTGTTGTTGTGTGCTTTCAAGTCATTTCAGACTTAGATTGACCCTGAGCGAGGGCCGGGTAAATGACCTTGGAGGGCCGCATCCAGCCCCCGGGCCTTAGTTTGAGGACCCCTGCTCTAGACCATGGCCATATAGCCCGAAAAAAACTACAACAACCCAGTGATTCTGGCCATGGAAGCCTTCGACAATACATGGGCCAATATTTCTTGTCAATTGAAGCTGTGAGAAATCAATTTTGTTCCATTTGATCAGTTAGGTACAGAATTTCAGCCAGCTTTTGTTTGGTCCAACAAAGCTGTGAAGTTTTTAACACCCTGTTTTAATCTCGTATTGTTGGCGCCTGTGAGTCTAATTGTTTTGCATAATTTAATATCCTTCAGTAGCCATTTATGTAATATAGATGACCACATTAAATTTTAATAGAAAAAGCCGAGTACTGGTTTTAATTTGAGTGTAGTTATCACTAGTCTTTTGCTATACTTTCAAACACTCAGCCCACTGAACTTTTATTGAACCACCGGCTCGTTCATCATAACTTCTACAACTTTGACTTGTGTAAAGGATAACTAACAAAATCCCACACGCTGCAAACCAATATATGTAGGGACTATGAGATTTTAAATAGCGATCCCACAAGCTGACACCATATGTAAAGGCTAGGGATTATTTACGAACAAATCCCAACAGCTGTACCTCCATTGGTATGAGACTGTGACCTATTTAATTAAAAATCCAAAGCTGAATAAGCTGGAACAATCTTCTGACCGAAAAACCTTTCGGTCAGAAACCGCATTGAGTTGCTTGACTGGGCTGAAAAATGCGGTATAGAAATAAAGCAAATAAATAAATAATAAATAATAAATTTTAAAAGAACACTGGCTACCACCACACTTAAAAGAAATGTTTAGCCCTTTCCTTGACTTGAGGTATCTTTAGGCTAGAATGTGCTGGATTTGCACTCAGGCTTTGTTTTCCAAGGTAACAACGAAGGGATTCCTATTTAGATATACGCTGCCACCATTTAACTTTGATTTTTTTCTATAAAGTGCTTTAAAACGTCTCACACAGAGACACACTGAGGCAGTGGTTGTGAACAAAGAACAATGTTGTTTATTTGAGAGAGCTTGAACAATACAGGCGTTAAGCTTAGCGATTGCAGTGTTGAATAAAAGTGTATGGTTCCTTTAAACAATTCAAAACTTAGCTGCAGATAACACTCCTCTCTCCCTCCAGAAACTGACAGGATTCCTCTCTGCCTAGTATTTCTAAACTCCACACAGACAGTCCTTTCCTTCTGGATCTGTCTCTCCACTCCACCAGCTGTCCTTCCCAATTGCTATAAAATCTTCTCAGTAACTAACTCTGCTGACTAACTGACCAACTTCTGGCTTCCCAAACTCTGTTCCTCCAACACACACTCCCTGACTCCTCTCTCCTTCACACCCAACCCAATCTCCTTCTTCTTTGACACACAAACGGAGCTGTCAGGTTTTAAAACGCACCCTTAAAAACATTTTTTTTCCTTTTCTCAAGTTAAGCTCCGCCCACTCTCAGCCAATTACAAACTCCCCTCATTTCCCTCCAAGCTGCTCCTAAGCACTGCCCCCTCCAGGAATTGAGATTCTAAGATGGATGCCCCCAGGCATCCTTTTAAAATGGCTGCTGAACTTCCTGGGCCTACTTTACTGAGCTTTTCCTAGCCTAACAGGTAGAGAATTAATCACAACTTGTCTTATAACTGAAGCATTTTGAGCTAGCTCCCTTGAGCAATACCACACACATCCAGTGCACCTAGTGCTGCCAGGGGATGTCATTTCCTGTCTCCTTGGGATACTTGCATACTACTTGTGTCATAATGGCACATAATGCCTTGCCTATGCATCAGGGGCTTATAGACATCTGAAGCAGGAGAGACTGAGTGACAAGGTAAGGGAGGCGATGCCAGAGGGGGAGGTGGTGAATAGATCTGTAGCTTAGATAGTGAATTCAGATGTCTGGTGTCCCTTTTTAGAAGATAGTTTGGTGAACATCTCAACATGAATTTCTAGAGTGTGGAAATAACAACCAAAACAAATCCATCTGTACAATTAATGGCAACCTTATCGAGGCTCTGGTACCAAAGTCTCAAAAGTACTGCGATATAGAACAGAAATGTGGAAGAGAAAACCAAATCCTTAAACTGTGCAAAATGTTTCCAATCATGCAGAAGGATGTGAAGAACTGGACTCAGCTCAGGAACACATGGAAGTCACTGGTGAGGGCACTATTATCATTGATAAACCTAAAGCTGAGGTTCTGAGCTACACTGGTCTGGTGAGTGCATTACTAGCATTCTTGCATACAAGGGATCAAAGGTCTTAGTCAGGATGGAAGAATATATATCTATATCTCTGTCTATCTCAGGTACTTTTAAAATCATTTCACTTTTTAATACTTTGGGCTTTATATTTTATCACAAAATGTTGAATTTTGATTAGTTTCTGTCAATGAAGGTGAAGGTCCATTAGAACATATGAATCAGTTCCCTTAGGCCTTGAATTTACACTTCTTATACCTAGTTTGTTAATTTACCATCTCATTGGGGGTGACGTCTGTCAGCATTCTCAGTCAATTTGTTTTGTTGTTATGAAACTTACCCAGGAAGGTTTCCTCCTTACAAAGATTAATGGATGAATTTTCCCTTTGAAGTTGCAAGTAGGTCCTTATGGCCAGAAGTCACTTTAAGCAACAGAGAGACGCAACAGGGAAGAAAAGACTGATAGGAGAAGTCCATGGATTATTTGGGCATTCATTGATCAATAGGGAACTTAAGAGACTCCTGTCATGCTCCAGCTATTGATATGCTCTCTGGGATTACTGTCTTCTGTATTTGACTTTGTAGGCAACAGCTGCTGCCACTATAATATAACAATAATAATACAACTTTATTTCTAGATTACACCTCTCTCCCAAAAGGGATTTATGGTGGTTTACAGCACAAAAATGGGCAAACATTCAATGCCTTACAAAGTAACAAACAACATCAGTAATAATACCAAATAATAAATAATAATAGCAATAAACTTACAATAAAAATTAAATGTTGAGATGGGGGATAAACCAATTAGACAATAAACTAGGGGCCTAATCACATTAGAGAAAAAATCCACTTAAAATCCGGTTTCTGCCTCCTGCAGAATTCTGGGGTTTGTAGTTTAGGGAGGAGCCTTGAACAGCTCCTCCTTAAAGTGGATTTTTTCTCTCTAGTGTGATGAAGTACTATAACTTCATTATAGGATGTGTAAACACTAAACATATATCATTAAAAACAGACATGCTTTGCATATAAAATGGCTAACAGGGGTTTATTAAAATGTATTACAGCCAATATTTAGTGCAAATGGGTTCACCAGTGTTCTGGTGAAATAGTGTCTTAGTCCTCCTCCTCTGTTCATGTTTTTATTTCTACACTAGCTGTACTCGCCACTCATTGCGGTGGCCAACCTTCCTTCCCTCTTTCTCTCCTTTCTTTCTCTCCTTCAGTGTCTCCCTCTTTTCTTCCTTCCTTCCTTCCTTCCTTCCTTCCTTCCTTCCTTCCTTCCTTCCTTCCTTCCTTCCTTCCTTCCTTCCTTCCGTTTTCTTTCCTTCTCTCCTACCTTCCTTCTCTACTTCTTTCCTTCCTTTCCCTCCCTTTTTCTTTCCCTTTTACTTTCTCTTATTTCTTCCTTCTCTACCTATTCTTGGACTGCAACTCCCAGCAGTCCTCCTGGTCGATCTACCTAGCTACTATCTATCTCTGTCTAATCTATCTATCTTATCTATCTGGAGGATTACTGGGAGTTGCAGTCCAGGAATAGGAAATATGCATGAATTGGGATGCTCTCAAAGAAATCCAAGGAGAAGCAAGCTTGCAGCTTGGAAGTAGTGCATTTGGAGCATCCTCCCCTCATAAAGGGCCTAGTCTAGGGGATGCTGGGAACTGTCATTTTCAATATATTGTCATTGAGCTTTTTGGGGTTTTAAAGTCCTTTCCACTGTTTTTCGGGAGGGGGTTATGAGTAATGGTCACTTGTTGGTCTGTTAGGGGTGTAGTGTGTCCAAATTTCATGTCAATTCGTCCAGTAGTTTTTGAGTTATGTTAATCCCACAAATGAACATTACATTTTTATCTTACTTCTACTGTAAACTTCACTATAATAAGGAAGATGGGCAAATTTTGTTTCCTTTCTCTGTGAAGTCCTAGGATTTATATAAAGGGAAAGATATCTTGAGAAACTTTATCTGTGTAAATGATTCTAAGAGGTTTGTCTGGGAGCATACCTTTCGACAAAGAAAATGCCAAGGAAACTTTTGCCTCTGCCCTGCCGCCAAGGCTTTTTGCTCAAAGCAATTCTTGACTGCTTTCCAGACATTTTGCAATGACTACTGGATCTCAGTGCGGGGTCTCTTGCAATAGTGGCCACCACTGACATGAACCTAGGAGCCTTTTCACATAAACTGTATTTATATTTTTATGAAAGTTATTAATATAAAATTTTATTTGTTTAAGGAATGCGAAAATAAAACTCCTGAACTTTACCAAAAACTACAAAAGCTAGAACAAGAGACTGAATTGCTCAGAGATATTAACAGAGGTCTACGGGAAGAAAATGTACTTCTAAAGGATAAATTGAAAGCATGCGAGCCAGAAGTTCAGCAGAGTAAGTACCTGGCATCATTATAAATTAAGATGCAAGCATTTACTTCTATTTTCTTCAACACCTTTTAACACCTAGTTTAGATGGGACATTCATTTTAATGTTATTATAGTGACCTACCTAAAACATATCAAACAAGTATGCAAATTGTTTGTTTTTGAAAAGTACTGCAAGTACTCCAAGATGTCCTCTAGACTTATAGGACTTTTTGCTTTATTAAAAATCAACAAAGCGATACTGTAAATGATATTTTTAACAGCTAACAGAAAATAACAATTGCAAACAAAAAAGTGTCTGTAGTCACAACAAAATAATAAGTACCTTCCCCATTTGTTTTGGTTGACTGCCTAAGCAAGACAAGGTTTACATTGGCAGTTAAGAGGCTTCAGTAGCACTGAGAAAAAAATATTGGGGGAGCTGCCAATGATAAAAGAAATATTAACAGTCTATACCTTTACATGACAGCCTTCCTGCCTTATATTGAAACAAACACCTCCCATAAAACCAAATCTAATTGTTTACCTTGTGGCACCTTACACCGAGATTGCCCCAAACCCAAGTCCTATTAAAGGAAAAATAAAATGTAACATGTGTATCTATGTGGTAATATACATGTTATTTAATATTTATACATTAATATGTGCCTATATTTATATTTTATATATTAATTATATGTGCCTATATTTATATATAGGTCCTCTGGTGGTGCAGTCAGTTAAACAGCTAAGCTGCTGAACTTGCTGGTAGTTCGAATCCGGGGAGCGGGGTGAGCTCCCACTGTTAGGTCCAGGTTCTGCCAACCTAGCAATTTGAAAACACACAAATGTGAGTAGATCAATAGGTACTGCTTCTGCAGGAAGGTAAAAGTGCTCCATGCAGTCACATGGCTACATGACCTAGGAGGCGTCTATGGACAACGTCAGCTCTTTGCCTTAGAAATGGAGATGAGCACCACACCCTAGAGTCAGACATGACTAGACTTAATGTCAGGGGAAACCTTTACCTTTTAATATTTATATATACTAATATACCCGCACACATACACAAGGCAAACCCACAGGTTGCCACTCTAAGGAACACTAAACATTTTAGGATGTGGCAAGTTGAAACTGCTGCAGAATGAGCTGAAGACTGAGCATGTTTTACTGGCTACACAATGCTGAATACCTGTTGAGCAGGAAAAACCGAAACCTGTGCAATCAAAGTATCATCCAAGAAGACAAGAGCATCGCAAATAAAGACCACACTGCAAGAATTTCTGTCCTACTGCGATAAATGTAATAATGTCACAAATATGTTTCTAGAAACTAATCCTTAAACCATTACTATTTCAGGTAAAACCATAAAATCACCCACCAAAGCCCAAGCGACCAAGCCAACACCAACAGCACCAAAAGACTCTCGCCTGGTGTGTTATTCCCGAATAAGCTGTGACGCCGAATTCGCTAAAGCTCTTAAAGTCTTTTACCAGAATATGAATGTCATCAGAGGACAGTTCTTAAAAATAATGCAATACAGAGCTCCGGTATGTATTTTAAGGAAATTCAAAATGGAAGTGTTATTCTATTCTTGGGTTAACAAGATTCTACTGAGTATATTTCTGCAGTGTAACCTGAAAATTGTTCTTAAGACTCAAAGCTTTCTTCACTTGTCCCATTTTATTACCACTGTAAATTCCATGCAATCATGTTCAAGTCTTCTTCAGATCTAGGAATCAACAAATGAGGAACCTTAAAACCTTTGCCCCTCACTTGAGTTATATTTCAGGCTATGAATGCCAGATGCAGGTTGTTTACCATGTTGCAGTTAATCAGATGTAGTTAATAGCCACTGTTATTCAGATAGGATGTTGCCCATCTGCTGCTGATATGTTGTTCTTGGTGTTTTTATATTCTTGAATGTTGTATGAATGACACTATTTGTTCTTGTTTACATAAATCAATGCATTGCACAAACTGATAACACATATTTTATTTCCAGGAAGAAGACAACATTCAACTACTTCGACTTTTTGCAGAGAGGCAATCAAACATGTTAAAGGATTTTGGAGAACAACTTGAGTCAAGCATAAATAAATTGAAAAACGATGTTGCCTTAATAGTTAAAAAGAAACGAGAAAGGCTAGGTTACAGTAAGCCATGAAGCCACACTGCAGTATGCTGTCACTAAATAAATTGTAATGCTATAGTATACTAGTTATAGTAATTCTTAAACATATATTTATACATATTTTCCTAAGTTAGGATGTGACAGACCTGCAAGACCAGAACAACCTGAATGTGCATGCATCAGAAAATGCTGGCTACGTTGCAAATGCGTCGCAAGCATGGTTGGTGGGGACGAGGGACAGGGCCTTCTCTGTGGTAGCCCCCCGACTCTGGAACGCTCTCCCCAAGGACATCAGACAGGCCCCTACGTTGGCAGTCTTTAGGAAGAGCTTGAAGACTTGGCTATTCCGGTGTGCCTTTCCAGAATAGGAAACCCCAGCAATATGTCCCAGAAGCACTTTACTAGAGACAAGACTGTCCGCACATTGTACTTACACAAAAATCCTTATATTTAAACTGTCATACTCAGCACTTTTAATCTGTACCCATTTACACTTGGCCCAGCCTTAGTTTTATTGTGCTATGGTGTACTGTTTTTACTGTTTACTGTTATTGCTTTAATATTTTGATTTTCTTTATGGTTTATGTGTATTGTTGTATTGTTGTTTTATTGAGGCCTTGGCCTTTCTAAGCCGCATCGAGTCCTTCGGGAGATGTTAGCAGGGTACAAATAAAGTTAATAATAATAATAACTGCAGACATACAATTCCTTTTTAAAAAAAATGTTGTGCTTTTGTTTCCAGACTCTTAGTGAACTCATGTTGGATTCAAAATCTCTGTCCTTCACGTAACAGTCCCATTTATGCTTACTGATACACCCCATACATCTGAAAGATTCCTAAGGAGCTGAAAAGGAAAACTGGTTATTTGCTTTCGGCATTCACTAAAGGGCCCTTAGAATCTAGTATGCAATATAAAAATGGAAGTTCAGTGATAAGTGGTTACATTCCATCTTCAATTATATTCAGTTAACTGGGGCTGGCTACAGGAAGCAGACAACCCCACTGTTGAAGCAGCTCCACTAGCTGCCAGTCTGTTTCCAGGCACAATTCAAAGTGCTGGTTAAGACCTTTAAAGCCCAAATGGTTCAGATCCAGTCTACTTGGCTGACCGCACCCCCTTGTAAAAACCTGCCTGGGCCCTGAGATCTTCAGCAGAGGCCCTTCTCTCAGTCCCACCTCCATTCAAGCTCGGTTGATGTGAATGAGAGAGTGGGCCTTCCTTCTCAGTGGCTGCCCCTTGACCCTGGAATTCCCTGCTCAGGGAAGTCAGAATGGACCTCTCTCCCTGCTGTTCTTCCGGACAGGCTAAAACCTCCTTATTCAGCTTTTAAAGGTTTTTAAGATCGGTTTAGGAGGTGCTGTGGGGGTGGGATTGTGGGGAATATGAGTTTTAAAGGCCATTTTAGTGTATTTATTGTATTTTAATTTTGTTTTCCCCATACTGTTACTATGTCATTGCTTTTTAACTTTTGTATTGCACCTTTTAAACTTGTGTAGTGTAAAGTGTTGGCTGCCTTGAGTCCCCATCAGGGGAAAGGAGGGTATATATAGGGACAATACTACTATTTTTTCCCCATGTCAGGAGTGACTTGAGAAATGGCAAGTAACTTCTGGTGTGAGAGAATTGGCTATCTGCAAGGACGCTCGGATGTTTGATGTTTTACCATCTTTGTGGGAGGCTTCTCTCATGTCCCTGCATAGGAAGCTGGAGCTGACAGAGGAAGCTCAACCCACTCTCTCTGGATTCGAACCGCTGACCTCTCGGTGAGCAGTCCTGCCAGCACAAGGGTTTAACCAACTGTGCGACTGGGAGCTCCATACTACTACTACTACTACTACTAATAATAATAATAATAATAATGATATATTACTTAACATAATGGACTGCAATATACATATCAGTATTACTAATTGGAACATTAGTACAGGGCTTCTTAAACTTTTTCAATGTGGCTTTTTTGCCCAGGAATTTTTTATGTGACCCTGAGGTATATAAGTATATAAAATATTTATTTATTTTAATGATTTATTTCATTTGTATACTGCTTTTCTCACCCATGGAGGGACTCAAAGCAGTTCACAACATAACCAATGGCAAAATTCAATGCCTCATATGTATAAAACATCATATATCAAATTGGCAACATATGACAATAGATTAAAACCACTACAACTATAAAACTCTAATAGAAATCACAAACGCAACATAAAACATTTAAACCTTGCATCAGTCCCGGGATGTCTTTAGCTACTTCCTTATTTCCATATTTCTGTCATTCACCGAATACCTGCTTGAATAATTTTATTTTTTCAATAAATGAAATAGGCATACAAATAAAACTTCTTTCATATTAGATGGTTAAATCCATGGATATCAAGGACCAATTGCACAACAGCAGTAATATTTAGGGCATGCCTAACTTCCAAGTACATAAAAATCAAATCCTTTAAGTAAAATTCAGTGGTCCTCAGTATCACTGGGGTTTGGTTCCAGGGTCCATAGTGGATACCAAAAGCCATAGATGCTCAATTCCCATAATATACAAGCATATGGCAAAATGATATCCCTTGTATGAAATGGCAAAGTCAAGGTTTGAGAGAAAGATAGATGGTCCAGTCTGTGGATACAGAAGGCCCATAATCAGATTTCCTTCTTGCAAGGGCGTGCCAGTGGGATGAAGGAAGAACAGTAAATGCCTTGAGAAGCTGGCAAGGTTCCTTCTTCTCTTCCGCCATTATATTTATTTTGCCTTTCCTTATCCCTCTCCTCCTCCATTGCTTGGCTGCTTTATTTTGTCCTCCTCCACATGGCATGAACTAAGATGGGCATGGGCAAACTTTGGCCCTCCAGGTGTTTCGGACTTCAGCCCCCACAATTCCTAACAGCTAGTAGGCTGTTAGGAATTGTGAGAGTTGAAGTCCAAAACACTTGATGTGTCAAAGTTTGCCCACGCCTGAGTGAAGGGGAGCCCATTTGGGGTCAGGACCCACAGTTAAGAAGCTCTGCTTTAGTACAGTGATCACCATGAATCACACAAAAGCCAAGGGAATTTGCAACCTCCTTTTATTGTATTGAACAACAATGGTAAGTAACAGCAGCTACATTTTTCTCTTACTCTTTAGTACTTTTTTTCCCCTGATGAGATCATCTCCACTGGAGTATCAGATATTCCTTTGCTACTGGCGTTCATATTATAAAGCTAGAATTTTTTTAAAAAAATATCCTCCCTATTCCACATTTAGTATAGGGAAAACATTGTTAAGTGAGTTGAGCTGATTGTGCCATACCCCATGAAACTTCCGTTAAGCACAATTAATTTGTCCCTTTAGCATCAACTAAACTTGATCTAACTTGATCTAGCATCAACTATTTGACTAAACTTGAATATGATTGTGTGGTCAATAAGACTTAATCCCAAGTAAAAGTTGACTGCAATCTTACTTATCAGGAAGACAGGCTGACTTGTCTATGAAGGAACACTGGATAAAAGGGATCCTGGGTATAATACTCTGCTAACTATAGCGGGACAGAGTTCTGCCTGTGTGATTACATACTCCAAAAGTTTAATGCAAACTATAGGAATGCTTCAAGCAACCTTACTACTATGTATTACTCATCTTAAAAAGTGTCCTCTCCTATCTATAGATATTTGGTCAATTAAGGCACAGATTTTGCAGTATAATCACCAACAGATTACCAAATCCCAACAAAAAAGAGTGCTATATAGAACTACATTAAAGACCTGAAAAGATTATAGATTACCATAGTGAGAACTCACTTTCAACTGGAAATGATGTTGGATGAGTTTCATTTCCAGCTTTCCTAAACTAGCAGTATAGTTCTACCACTACTAATTATTACAGTATTTTTTCAACGTATGTGGTGTTAACATGTTCAGTATGTCCAGTTAAAATGTTCAGTAATTTTCAAACAATAGTATGGAACATGTAGTCATTAGAATGCAAATATTTTATTAAACTTAGCAACCCTTTAAAATGTTTGTTGTTATTATTTTTGGTCTACAAGTAACTACACAAAGGTTTCCTGGTCATGCTGTCTCTTCAGAAGATTTTTCAGACTTCGGGCTTGCTAATAACAGAGAACTCAATCCCATGCTTGTTGAGTCTGTCAATCAGTTTTGTTTTGGAGAACAAAGCCCCAGGAGAATAGACGCCTCCTCTGTAAAGCAATCACATACCGATTTATTAGCATCCCAGAGATGTAAGCAGCACCACAATTTGGTTTATCACCATTTTTTTCCAGGTAAAACCCAACAGTAGCAAATTTGTTGTGTAAATGAATTCAAGAAATGCAATACAGGCTTAATGATGGTATATAACTGAAGAGAGTGCCAGTCTATTTAGAAATTAAGGCCTCTGAATTCTATATGAATGCCAGAAAAAAGACTGCAAACTGAAAAACAAATTGAGCTTGATAAGAAAGCTCCAGTAAAGACTTGAAGAATCAGTTAAATATGAGAGTTTAATTTCTCTGCCAAATACTTTGTAGTATTTACAAGTGGTATGTTTTCTGAGAAGCAGCCAGAAAGAACAGTTCCAATTATTAAATGTAATCTGGTATGTGTTCTAAGGAGCTATAGCAGTGCTCCATAACATCAGCTCATAACATATGCTCAATGTAAATCTACTAAGTGGGAGAGAGGGAAGAGGTACAAATGTTAAATCACACAGGCAATTATCATGGATAGATGATGTATCTCTAGCCTTCTCTTAACTTTAAGGGAAATTAATCTCTTTGGAGCTAATTTTCATGCTGTGAGAGAATAGTCCTGTAGGTTAAACCCCCACTCAACCCCACCCAATAATAAGAGATTTCACAGAAAATAATGAAGACTTACGTTTTAGGAAGAGAACTCTTGTCCTTCAGAAGTGCCACACCAGCCTGGACCATTGCGATGGGTGTAGCAACATAGCCAGCCTCTACAAAAGACAAGTGAAGCAAACAAAAGACAAGTCATCAAACTCTTATTACATTCATCTCTTCTTTTATAAACATGACTGGAAAATGAAACAAGAAGCCACAAAATATCTCTTTAAACACTGTTTAAATATTTGAAAAGATGTCATAAGGAAGAAGGAGCAGGCTTTCTGCTGCCCTGGAGACTAGGACTCGGAGCAATGGGTTCAAATGACAGGAAAGGAGATTCCACTTAAACATTAGGAAGAACTTTCTGTCCACGAGAGCTGTTCAGCAGTGGAATTCTCTGCCTCGGAGTGTGGTTGAAGCTCCCTTTTTAGGAAGCTTTTAAGCAGGCTGGATGGACATCTGTTGGGAGTAGTTTGTGCTTTTCCTGCATGGCAGAATCGGGTTGGTCTGGATGGCTGTTGTAGTCTCTTTCAAATCTGGATTCTATAAACTTTAGTTACTCTTTGCCCCTATTTACATCATGACTCCATGGAAGAAACTAGTTTCTGCCTGAATCCTGTGCAAGTGATTTCTTTGTTTTAATTCCTATAACCTAGTTCCAATCTGAACGTTTCCATGTCCTGTCAGACCTTGTAGCTATTATTCTCTATTTGTTCCTTTTCTCTAGGCCGGGCCCAACCTCACCAGAAACATCTCACTCTATTAATGAGTTTCCCTTTCTGGATTATTATATACCAATTATAAGTGTCACCTCCTTGCTAAAACACTGAAAGCAGTTTAAAATTTACAGTAATCGCAAGATTGTAGGTATTAATGAATGAAGGTATCCCCCAATAAAAACTCTCCCAACACAAATACAATTTTCCTTCAATCTCTACATTTCTAGCATCATGGTAACTTAAAGCTTCAATTGAGCACTTAGAAAAATAATTTGGGCATCCAAAGAAAAGGGGCAGTTAACAAGGGAATGCAAACATAACAAAAGTGAGCATTTCTAAGTGTGAATAATTTTTAATGCCTCGCACTGTGCAAAGCTAGACAATTAAGGAATGAAAGAAATTTCATTAAAGGTGGTAGAATCCTAATATGGAAACTTAATGTCCACATTTAACCCTTACATAACCTCAAGCCTGTAGCTTAACCTGAGACATGACACATGGAAAGCCTGGAGTGTGACCTGGCTCTTGTGAAAGGGGACAAGAAAGCTTCATTCCACCAGTAGAGTTTTGTTTATATCTATTAAGATTATAGGTAACATTTGTATTTCATTCTGTTTTCCTGATTTTGGTTATTGCTTTCACCAAAAGTTAGCTGGTGGTGTACTTTGATTAAATTAGAGATCTCAATTGTGCAAAAATGTGTGTTTTTCTAAAACACTTTGGATAATTTTAGCATTAGATCTAGAAGATGTCAGAGAATTAGCAAAAAGTTGGTATGACACAGGCTATATTCAGACAATCCTTTAATTTGTGGTTTGGAAGACAAGGCCCTTTTCTTCCTATTACTTTAATGTAATTATCTTGGGCAGAAACTGATGGGCAAATTGCTTGTGGGATACAGTCAACCCTCCAGATTTGTAGGATTCATTTTTACAGATCCAATAATTCAGGGATTTGATTAATATGCTGTCTATGAAACTCTGGGTCAACTCTTGCCATAGATTTGAGCTGGAGGATATAGATCGGGTATGGGCAAACTTGGGCCCTCCAGGTGTTTTGGACTTCAACGCCCAGCCAGTAGGCTGTTAGGAATTGTGGAAGTTCAAAAAAGAGTAGCTCTAGAGCAACTAGAGATTCCTAAAGTGATATTCTCACGTTAAAAAATCAGTTTTTTTTTTAATCTGTAGCTTTCCCACTTTTGTACATATTCTGCATCTCGAACCCTAGCAAATATGGAGGGCTAACTGAACTGAGCAAGACATAAGTTTCAAAACTGGAATTATTTTATAATGATGATCCTTATTGGAGTGAAAATTTCACCTCAATTTTCCTGCAGTGGGAGAAAAATGTTTCATTGAAATTCTGGACCTCTGTTGTGATTTCATGGAAAGATTATGAATTCCTGTTAACACATTTTAAAAGTGCATTTGCCTTCTCAGTCTAATGTCTAAGAGAAGCAGCTGATTACCAAATGAGATTGCCAAATGCTTTTAGCAGACGTACATTTTGCAACAAGCATGTTAAGCATTAAAAGTATTAAAGTATGCATAATTAAATCTGTTGGCATGGGTGGTCTACCTGGCCCCTTCACTCGAGTGCATATTTTAACATCCGGTTTTCCTTGCTGTGGATCTTTACCAGTACTGTATCCCTGGCCAAAAAATGTCATTTCAAAAGATGACCCTTCCATCTGTAGTTTTAAAAAAGAGAAAATAAAACAGTGTTAGCTCTCAAAAACAGAACCATTTACATAAGGTCATAGCCCAATTCATGTACAATGTGTGGAAAAAGACATGTATGAAAAATAGTCCTTTCATTAAAAAAGCAAGCCCTAAATCACCCCTATTTTTCTTGACACAGTAGCTTATGTTTAACATGATTTCAAACATATGTAGGAACACAGTGGGACTTCTAAGTCAAGGAACAAAGATTAATGTCTCATACACTGAAAGCTGAACAGGAAGGAGGGCAGTATAGAAATATTTTAAGGAAACCTTCCAGCACCAAAATGAGGTAGCAAAAATGGAGTAGAATTTACCACATAAAACAACATAGGTTAGAATCTTACATTTTTGTCTTCAACAATGTCCTCGAGCATCGAAATATTGGGTTGTTTTCACTTAATCTTTAAAAGGTTACTTATTGCTAGTCCTTTCAATGATTCTTTTTCAAACCTAGTCTGTAGAAACATTTCTCAGTAAGGAACTACATAAACAGGACAAGTCAAAGCTTTGGGCAACAACTTTTTTTCCTAGCCATAATGCATAAAGCAATTGTACATCGGCAGACATACAAGCTAGTGCACACATCTCAGGTGGATCCATATTTCATCAAGTATCATGTTCTTTGTGGATTATTCAGATGCATAAGGAATGAATACAATCTGAATACAACCAAATGGTATCTTAACAAACTGTGTTGTACTGATTACCTGTTTTTCTGTTGGTCCTTCTTTTGTAATATATCCTCCAGAAAAAAATTCAGGATACTGAAATAAGAAAATCCCCATTAATTTCAAAAAAGAAATATCAAGGCTATCAAAATTCAGAAATGTTCAAACCAAACCTACTTTTACTAGAAGTTTTCTCCCAAAGTTGAACTTCACAAGCATTAAAAATAGAAGGCCAGCAAACATCAGCTTAATGACATTTCCAATACCGCCAATGGTAGCGTAAGCAGCATATTGCACCTGAATAGATGGAAGAGTTCTTATCAGAAATCACAATTTAGTGTTTATTATATTTCTAAGACATTCTTGTATTTACAAAACTGTTCCAAGTATAAAAACAAAATATCAAAATATTTAAAATGGGAACAGTAACATCAGTAAATCAGTGGTTTGTGACTTAGTGACAGTCTTATCTGAAAGTGCTGTCTGAAGCTGACAGTGAATGCCACAGAGATTTGATACACTAAAACACTACTTCATTTGATCTCCAAACAAACCACCTGGAAGGTCTTAAGATGAGCAAGTTGCTAAGGGAGAAGGCATACCCATAGACAATAAGATAGTATGTCAATACTTTGTACACTAACATAAAATCCTTACTCAAGCCTTATTTTCAAGTCACTCATGGGATTAAGTATTCTAGAGAGTGATCATTCACTGAGAAATAAGCCCTTCATGGGTAACATTAAACTTACTATACATGACCAAACAGCTCTGTAACAAACTAAATGAACAACGGAACCAGTCCACCACTAATACAAATTTAGTATCACTTATCCAGAATTATGGAATTCAAAATATTCCAAAATCCAAATTTGTCCAAATGGATGGCTGAGATTGTGATACCTTTGCTTTCTGATAGTTAACAAACTTTGTTTTATGCCTAAAATTATTTAAAATGGATGCGTATATAGTGTAAATGATTTTCACATTCAGACGGTTCCCATATTCTAGAAATATATATCTTTCCACATCTGTAGTTTGACTCTTGCAGATTTGATTATTCATTGATTTATTATCAAGATCTTCCAATGTAATTCTATAGAAAACATTCTATTGGAGATTGACCACAGAATTGAGCTGGAGGATCTAAGAGGTGTTCTCTCAGGTTAAAAAGTTTTCTTTATTCACATCTTTTCACTTTCTTGGGGGGGGGGGTGTCTTGTGGCCCTAACCCCAGTAAACATGGGGGACTGGACTGATGATTCCGATGTTCCAAAATCCAAAAAAATCCTAATTCCAAAACACTTTGAGTCCCAAGTATTTTAGATAACTCAGTGCACCATTGTGCTAGGAAGTGATAAGGGGTAATAATTTACTGCTTAAAAATAGATAAGTATGCTGTAAGTCGTGACATGAAGAATGCTCAATATGCAAATAAAAAAATTGTTATTATAGCACATCTAAGCTTGGGAATTTTTAAAAAAATGTTATGACACTGTTGCTGGTGCAATGCTGACAACCATGCAGTTGTATGATGTATTTGGTTTTGTTCACTGAAGAGAATGATACAAACATTTCCACAAATGACAGGCCATTTGGGGGGGGGGGACTTCCTTGAGGTTTATAAACTAATGTCTGGTAAATTCCTATGCATCTGGCTTGAATGTCACTTTCTCCCAAAGAAAAACACATAGAATTGCAGTCTAAATCACATACGCAGAGAGAGACAGAGAGAGAGATTTTATTGAAAACAGGAATGGCATAGTGCGGTCACAAGCATGCTAAGCCTGAAGCCTTTGTCTAGCATAGACAAAGAAGGCATTTTCCTCTTAAGTATGTGGTGCAACTTCTGGCTTTTCATAATTTTTGCTTGAGAAAAACATGATGGCAGCAGCAACTCTTTGTGTCGCCTTCCCATGATGTAAGAAAGCAGGAGTCAGAACTTCTTTTAGATTACCAGGACAGACTATGCTTTTTCTCTTCCAGGCTTCTCAAAGAGAACTGCCCTTTGCCCAGGTAGCCTCCTGTGCCATCTGTTGTAGCTGCAACGGGCACCATTATCTCCTCAGCTAGTGAGGCCCCATTTTCAGGCTCTTGTTCTAGGTCCCAGCTCTTTTGGTGCTGCTCTCCTCCAGCTCCCAGACTGGCAGTGATGTTGCAGAGCTGTCCCAGTGCTGCTGCTACCAGCCCTCAGGTCTCCTTGGCCACCTGGGAACCAGAAGAGAGGAGCGTACTGCTGCCTAAAGAGGAACTGGAAGAGCAGTGTGAGCACAAGACATCATCAGCCAAGGTGAGTACTGCAGCACCTACAGCAGCAAGAACGGACGAGACAGGAGGCAGGAAATGCATTCATACCAGGCTTTTATAAAACCCCAGGGCAGGACACTAGTGGTGACAGCCATGAGCAGTGGGACCACATAAACAGCACTAGTGATTTAGCATATATGGTTATTTAAAAGAATTAGCATGGTGGTGGCAGCCTTGTTTATTAAAAAATCACTCAGATTTTTAAAATCATTCAGGAAAGGTAGGAGTGTGTGCATTCCCTTTGTCACAATAGAATAATGTTTGTTTTATTAATGGTCATGTAAACTTACCGGAGTTTCTTCCTCTTGTGTATGCAAATAGCGCTGAGTCCGTTTTACCACTGAGACATCTGCTCCCATGAATGGAATGGAATACTGCTGGAGTTCGTTACAAAAAAACACTGCACCTCTGTGAGAAATAGAACCAAGAAAAGTAAAATTCAGCAAAATGTATTTGCAGCACATGTCAAGAACAAAGGAATCTTTTAAACAAAGGAGTCTTTACAGGCATAAATTCCAGCAACATGTTTCCTTTCAGGAAAAGCCTTGAAAACTGTTATTACATATTGAAGGCACTAAACTTCTATTCAGACATTTACTTACTTACTTACTTACTATATGTATATACTGCCTTTCTCACCCTGGGGGGACTCAAGGTAATTTACAATGTATTAATGACAAAAAATCAATGGCAACATACAGTACACAAAGAAATCATAATAACTAATTACTACATAAAACTATGAACTTAAAATCAATTAAAACCATTATACATAACACATACATAAAATTTCAACATTCAGACAAAGCATAAAATCATCCTAGTATAAACATTAAAATCCCATGATCCAGAAATCATACACCATAGCTATTCTGAATTGTTATTGCACATGTTCCTTAATTATTCATTGGTTCCAGAGCTGAGGAGCCACCGCTGAGAAGGTCCTGAGAAGGCATTTGCAACAGAGGCGGGATCAGGAGCAGGGCCTCCCCAGATGATTTACAGGAAAGGGGATTCCACCTGATTATTAGGAAGAACTTCCTAACTGTGAGAGCTGTTCAGCAGGCTCCTTCTTTGGAGGCTTTTAAGCAGAGGCTGGATGGCCATCTGTCAGGGGTGCTTTCAATGTGATTTTCCTGCTTCTTAGCAGGGGGTTGGACTGAATGGCCCATGAGGTCTCTTCCAACTCTATGATTCTATGATCTTAACTTCCATAATAGTTCATAGAGGGAGATACGTTCAGACAGATAAGCTGGGCAGGAACTGTTTAGGGCTTTATAGGCTTAAGTCAGCACTTTGAATTGTGCTCGATAGCAGACTGGCAGTCAGTGGAGATGACGTATTGGGGGGTTGTGTGCTCCCTGTACGCTGCAACCCGGTTGCTGCCCATTGGACTACTTGAAGCTGTCAGAATATGGTGGTTTAAATGTAATGGAATATTGTAATATTGTGTCATGTAACAATGCAGTGTAAGAGTTAAATGCATAGAGCTGTGCTTGATTCCTAGAGCGTAACTTTATAGAGTGTTCCGGTGACGTATTTAGATTCTATAGAAATCAAATAACCATGTGGTTCCAGCTTTCAGTGATGTATAGCTAGGTGGATAGACGTGTTTTGCTACTTCTGTAAATAGTTAGTAGTTTGTAGTTTTTGCATGAAAGTAAACCACTCCAGGCTTTGCAGTTGATCTGCAGTAGTATGGTGTGTTTATTTTCCTTGTGTTTCTGCGCAGCTGCTGGAGTGCTAAGAAGTATTGAGATAAGAGAGAGGTAATTTATCTCAATAAATCAACAGAAGCTTCCAGTCTTCAAAGGAAACCTCATATAGAGCGGGTTGCACTTCAGTCCTGCCAGTGCAGTCAGTTTTGGGAAATGATGAGGGATGCAGTCAGAAACAATATCTAGAGGACCACAAACTCCACATCCCTATTTCAGGGTCCTTTTATTTTCCAACATTTGCATATTACAGAATGATTTTTGAGGATGTGGACAAGATCACTGGAGAAACTAGGGCAACCACATGCATCCTAGACCCCTGCCCATCCTGGCTGCTAAAGGAAGCCAGAGGGGGGTTGGCAGAGTGGTGAAGGTAGTGGTTAATACCTCCCTGCAGGAAGGCAAAATTCCAGCTAGCCTAAAAGAGGCTGTAGTAAAACCGCTGTTGAAAAAACCATCACAACCCCACTCAATTGAACAACTTTTGGCCAGTTTCCAATCTCCCCTTTATGGGCAAAGTCATGGAACGTGTGGTAGCCTCACAAGTGTTCTTGGAGGAAACTGATTGGATCCGGTGCAGTCTGGCTTTAGGCTGGGACATGGAACTGAACCCCCTGCTTCTTGGCAGGGGGTTGGACTGGATGGTCCATGAGGTCTCTTCCAACTCTTTGATTCTATGATTCTATGCAGTAATCTATTATCAATGTAACAATACCACGGACCACCATGGCCAAGTCAGACTTCCCAAGGTACGTCCGCAAGTAATGCACAAATTTTAACTGTGCAAAAGCTCCCCTGGCCACCACTGAAACCTGGGGTTCCAGACTTAGCGATGAGTTCAGGATCACTCTCAAGATATGTAACCCCATCCAGCACAGCTGTAACCCTATGCCCTACTAAGACGACTAAGCATGTTTCAGTTCCATGTCCCAGCCTAAAGCCAGACTGCACCGGATCCAATCAGTTTCCTCCAAGAACACTTGTGAGGCCACCACACGTTCCATGACTTTGCCCATAAAGGGGAGATTGGAAACTGGCCGAAAGTTGTTCAATTGAGTGAGGTTGTGATGGTTTTTTCAACAGCGGTTTTACTACAGCCTCTTTTAGGCTAGCTGGAATTTTGCCTTCTTGCAGGGAGGTATTAACCACTACCTTCACCACTCTGCCAACCCCCCTCTGGCTTCCTTTAGCAGCCAGGATGGGCAGGGGTCTAGGATGCATGTGGTTGCCCTAGTTTCTCCAGTGATCTTGTCCACATCCTCAAAAATCATTCTGTAATATGCAAATGTTGGAAAATAAAAGGACCCTGAAATAGGGATGTGGAGTTTGTGGTCCTTTAGATATTGTTTCTGACTGCATCCCTCATCATTTCCCAAAACTGACTGCACTGGCAGGACTGAAGTGTGTTGCTATACAGTAACATCTAAATTGCTACTGTTTGGGGCTCCAAAATATACATGCAATCTTAATACCTCCTTTGAAGTTTTGCTCCAATCACTGGAATGGATTTATGTCCTATTTGGCGCCGAACTTTTTTCAGATTTTCTTGATCAGCAAGACCATATACTATGGATTTCCAGGTACCTTCATGAATAGAGCCACCCTGTCAAAGCATCGTGTTAATTCATACTTTTAATATATTCTTAATAATGTCAACGGATCTATAGGACTAGCTATCAAAGCTGCAAATAATCTTACTACAATTAAACATGCTAAATGTGAGTTATAAAACAGCTGAAACATATGTTCCCATTTCTGAACTTGGCTATACACTCACTTCATCTCCCCCTGCTCAACAAAAACATAAAAGGGATTTGTTTTTCTACAAGTATTCACTTAATTTTAACTGTTCTGCAACCTTTTGAATATGCAGAACTGAACATGTTTTGCTGAAGTATATATCTTCCTAGTCTGATGTTACTGTTGAATTTATTTATTTTTGTTTCAAAATATTTTACCATTGAGATAAATATCAGCACTGTTTCTTTATGCAAGAGTTTCATTAACATTACAAATTTGGCACATGAACTCAGAAGAGCTACTGCAAGCCAATGTCAATTTTTGTCACCTCAAAAGCCATTCAAGAAAACTCTCATTGATCTGATGAATGACAGATTCACAGATTGCCATAGCAGCTAATTATTATCTTTAAAATTATTATCTTTAAAAAGGTCTCATTATATATGTCTGCATCAGGGATAGGAACTGTGTGGCTCTCTAGCTATTTTAACAATCCAATTCCCATAAGCCCTTGCCTGCATAGCCAATGGGGAGGAGTCTTAGAAATCACACAATTCATTCCTCTGGTATATGGAATAAGTGCTTAGCAAAGTAGATCAACTAACCTCTGGGCCAGATTTAACAGTCAGAAAACTTTCCACTGCTGTTAAGGTACCTTTAAAGAAAGAGATTTCATTATCATCTATGGTTATAAGGAACTGAACAAATTCCATTCAGACAGTCATATTGCCACAGGAAGTGTTTTCACAATAAAGATATATGCTAGTAATGCAATCCCAAACTTCTACTGAGAAGTAAGTCTTCACAGATTCAATGGAATTTATTTCTTTTAGGTGTATAGAAGATTGTAGCTTTGGCTGGAATCTTTTTTATGGAGCCTTGCCAAATCTGAGAGAGCTACAGCTGCCACTATATATCCCGCCCCATAAAAAGTCCCCTCTCACCCTTTGAAGTCTGTCAGTTGATGGCCTTCATGCTTGTCTTAGGCCCAAAAGAAGGCCTTCCCAATCGGAAAGAGACTGTAACTTACTTTTAGTTTTGGAAAGCTTCCCTCAGATTGAAACAGTTTAGCCTACTCCCACTTTCCACCTTCATGCAGTGAAACTACCAAAATCCATCAGCACTAGCAAGGCCTGTAGCCAGGGGTGTGTGTGTGTGTGTGTGTTAGAGGTTCAACCCCCCCCCCCCCCCCCCCCCATTTTTCAGGTTAAAAAAAAAACCTGGTTTACTCATGAATTTTAACTGGTTAACCAAATCCCCATGCTAAGTCTATGAGATGCAAAAAATTAAGAGTCCCTCCAGAACTGCAAGTACTATCTCAAGCAAATATTGACAATTTATTCACACAGTCATTACTTGCAGCAATAGCCGATGTAGCGAAGCAACCAAGTTGGCGAAGCAACCAATAGCTGATGTAGCAACCAATAGCCGATGTAGCGAAGCAACCAAACCAGACTTGGTGGAGGTGGTTGACAGGGGCGGAGCTGCATGCTATTGAAGGCTGGTCCGCCCCCTACTGTGCTCTTTGCTTCAGCGTGAACCCCCCCCCCGAAATGTTCACACACAATCCCCCCCCCCCGAAATTTTCAACCCTCCCCGAAATTTTTTTCTCGCTACGGCCCTGGCACCAGCAAAAGCAGGAGGCAAAGCCACTGTGTTACTTTGCTGAAACACCAGTTCCATCATGTTTCTTTTTCTGAACTGTTTCCACAATTGATAAGTCAACTTGTGTAGGTGCTAAACTCTTGATTACATAGATTCCCAAATGTATTACAAGCCATAAGTAGTACAATTTCCTTGAGAGGTATCAAAGTAGTAATAAAGCAAAATGGTCACCTTTCAAACTGTTTTTGGTATATAATACTCCAATATCTGCAGGAATAGAATCAAAACCACAGCTCCCAACAATATATGCTCCTTTTTCTGCAGCTTTGTCATTATAATTCAAATACATTCCTTCCAGAAACTGAAAGAGAAATATGAAAATGCTGTATTGAAAAATAGAACCTTCTCTGTCTCAATTATCAAGGCAATAATTTTCATACCTAGTATTGCTAGTACCACATTAATTAGGTCATGGCCCATATTGAAAGATTATTGTGTCCATCAAACATTCAAAGACAGCATGGCCCTGTCTATGATTATGTTCAATAATGAGAGATAATGCTTACTGTGAAGATTTATTCTGGGATGGCAGGAGGAGTGATCCACCATGACTGGCTTAATCAGTGGGTCACCTGATGAGTTTGGTAGTACAATTGACCCAATTGTGGTGAATTACTCTTCCATGCCATCCTGAGAACAAACGTCCCATATTTATTTCTAGAATGGTAAAAAACCCTCCCATCTCTCTCTCTCTCACACACACACACACACAAATGAAAATAAAACATGAGCGAATGCTTCATACTGCTATTACTAACATCTTAGACTTTTCATAAGACGAAAGATAAAACGATTAAGTAGCATTAAACATTTCTCCAAATGATCATTATTTTTTGTACATATTTCTTCTCCCACAAAAAGCACCCACAGAAAAACTGAAGGTTGGGTGGAATGGTGAGGCCGATATTATTGAGGATGCAGCTCTTGTATGGAAAACCCACTCTATTCTATATCCAGCAAAAACCATAAAGAGTCTAATCTCATGGTAGTATTACTAAACATACAATTTTAAATAAATAGGCATTATTCTTGTATTATCATCAGATGAGCAGGAAGAAACATTATGCCAGACAGTTCATAACATGCTTTCATAGTTCCACATACCTGAGGTTCTCCGCTAATATCAATGCAGCTTGTACCATTCTCAACACAAGCTTTCACCACAGGTTCTCCAAAAAACCTGTACTATAAGAATGAATAAAATCCATCACTTATATTAAACAAAGCTGCTTTAATAAATTCAGCAAACTACCACTTCTGCTTATATTTTAATCAGTTTTGAAATATGAATATATATGGGAAGTAGTACAAGTATTTAATAATAAATAATACTTGGGATTTAACCAAATTCTTTTTAAAAATTAGCTGATTATGTGAATTTTAATCAATTAAGCTTAATCTCAGCTTCAGTCCATTAAAAAGCAGAGTTGTCCTTTTAATGTACTCACTCAAAAAACTTTTTGATTTAACTATTTTTTTAAAGTTTATGTTTTGAAATCTAAAACAACAAATAAACAGAAATGCTTTATCTTAGGATATAGTAATGCAAAGGCAAAAGGTCAGAAAGCACACAAGAAGAACAATATACTATGGAAACGTCATTTCTAAAAAGACTACTGCAGCATAAAATTATTTTATCTTTTTTTTAACAGAGGAAAATACTTACTGGGCCTACACAGTTGAGAACAATAGCTGTTTGTTTAGCCATATTAGCAAGAGAGGATGGATCACTGACATCACACAGTATTATGCTAACTTCTGACTTCAGTTCTGTTTTTCCTGGAAATTCAGAAATGTAATGTCACAAAAGAACCCTGACACTATATAATAATTTGCCCAAACTACAGCTCCACCATCATTATCTTATTATACGAGAAAGAGAAGCAAATCAAGACTAATTTTCAATTCTTTAATGTAATTTCTATGACTAGTAAATTATTTACTTGGTACAAATTTCACCTCTTCTTGTTAATACATTTTTTGTACAAAAGAGGATTAGGAACTCTAAAAATTACACAGTACTGTTAAAACAAAAATATAGCATTGCAAACTTGGCAAACAAAGAAGCAGCAAATATTTATCTTTTTTTTGTTCTTGCAAGACAGTTTATACTCATAGCGTGAGAACTAAGACAAGCATTAAATCATTAATGAGAAGGCCTGAGGCTGTCCAGCAAATAAATATTGCAAGTCTCAATTAAAATTCAACAGCTGCAATCCAAACAAAAATAGTTAAGGGGGCTTAAACAAACTAGAATATGAATAGAAAAATGTGTGAAACTGCAGATATGCCAAGGTCAATTTCAGGATCTTTTATCCTAAATAACTACATATATAGAAATGGGGGGAGGGAGGTGGTTTGAGTGTTGGACTATGACTGGAGTCCAGGGTTCAATTTCATGCTCAACCACAAAACCCACTCTTAGATTCACTCTCTCAGCCTCAGATTTCAGGTTTGTATCTAAATAAATTTGCATAGTTCAACCATGACTTGAACATCACCGCAACAAAATGATATAAGAATGTAGGCTGTTGGCATGCTGTTTATAACTATGACCATGCTAAGTAAGGATGGTGGTGCCTTGAACACTTTATGGTCAAAAATACGACCCCAAACAGCATTGCACAGATGTTGGCAGGCCTGCTCTGGATTCAACACTCATCTTTCACTGCTAAATCTGTTTCTCAGCTTCAGCTCCCTATATAAATATTGATGACTTTTACACACATCAGCAATTGTAATGCAGGGGACTCTTTGGTTCTTTAAATATTTGGGACAGCAATTTCCACAATCCCTTATGATCAAAAATGTTGGGTGGGGTGGATGGGAGTTTCATGCAAAAACATGGAACTCATCTGTACTGTAAAAGAACTGCACAGTATTACAAAACTACAAGAACGGGTTCTCTCCTTCCTCAGTTATAAAAGAATAGAAGCTAAATAAAATTCAACACAGCTTTGCAGCAAGTTCAATGTTTCCCAGCTTCATAAAAGCACAAAGAGTCTCAATCTGTACTAATTTTAAGGCAGCTTTGCAACATGCTGTCATTTTAAGCAAATGTCTAAGGTCACTGCTTGCAGGTGTCCCCGAAGCAGGAACAAGATACTGAATAATATAGATCACAGAACATAGAATTGGAAAAGATAACAAGGGGAAGCCAGGCAGTTCAACCGCCTACCATGCAGGATAAGTACAATTAATCATCTGCTCTGATCTAGGTAGTCATGATCTTAACCAAAAAAAAGCAACCATTGTTTATTTCATAAGCTTGCAGTTAATAAGAGTTTCTCTTTCAACCTATGGCAATGTGCTGAACTAGGAACCTGGGAGACCAGGGTTTGAATTCCTGCTCAGAGTGGAAACTCACTGAGTGCTTTTGGACAAATCACAGTCTCAACCTCAAAGGGCAAAAAAATACAAACCAGCTCTGATCAAATCCTGTCTCAAAAAAGCTATGTGATAGGATCATGGTAAGTTTGAAATGGCTTGATGGCACACAAGAAGACCAAAATGCCTTATTCAAAGTAATATCACCAAGTATCTAGCAGAACACAAGTTATTCATTTCCTTAACTATGGAAGTAATCTGAGGGTTACCTATCTCATTTTATGCTGGGAAAATTCCCACTGCCACCATGGACATATTAGCTGAAACAGGAGTGTGAATGGTAAAAGCAGTCATTACAATCAAATGACTTGGGGTCGTTATAAATTAGATTTGGGCACCCTCTTCTCATATCCCCCTTCCTTCCCCAGAAGGGAACTCAGGATATTGAGGTCAATCCACCCAAGATGTGTTGAGATCAAAGCCACATGGCCCTCAGATAGCTTTCCATCTCCACTGTAAAAGCACAAAAGGTGCAAGGCAAAATAGGTTGCTGTGAGTTTTCCGGGAATGTTCCAGAAGCAGTCTCTCCCGACGTTTCACCCACATCTACGGCAGGCATCCTCAGAGGTTGAGGAGTCTGTTGGAAACTAGGCAAGTGAGGTTTATATATCTGTGGAATATCCAGGGTGGGAGAAAGAACTCTTGTCTGCTTGAGGCAAGTGTGAATGTTGCAACTGGCCACCTTGATTAGCATTTAATGGCCTTGCAGCTTGACAGCCTGGCTGGTTGCTGCCTGGGGAAGCCTTTGTTGGGAGCTGTTACCTGGCCCTGATTTATTCTTGTCTGGAATACCCTTGCTTTTTGAGTGTTGCTCTTTATTTACTGTTCTGATTTAGAGTTCTTTTAATACTGGTAGCCAGATTTTGTTCAATTTCATGTTTTTCTTTCTTTCTGTTGAAATTGTCCACATGCTTGTGGATTTCAATGGCTTCGCTTTGTAGTCTGACATGGTAGTTGTTAGAGTGGACAAGAGTTCTTTCTCCCACTCTGGACATTCCACAGATATATAAACCTCACTTGCCTAGTTTCCAACAGACCCCTCAACCTCTAAGGATGCCTGTCATAGATGCGGGTGAAACATCAGGAGACAATGCTTCTGGAACATGGCCATTCAGCAACCCAGTGATTCTGGCCATGAAAGTCATCGACATCACATTAAAAGAGGAAGACTTCAGCACTGCGGATCTGACCCACTTCTCAGGAAACACATCCACTGGGTGTCTTTGCCTGCTGATCAGACTGCACAAGCAACTCCTGCCCCCTTCTAAAGCTGGAATCTTAAGGTCCATCTAAATGCACCCCCAGTTAATTCACTATTGGAGGTTAAGGCCCCATCTACACTGCCATATAATACAGTTTGAAACTACATTATATGGTCAGCGTAGAGTCCTATAATGCAGTTTAACTTCATCGAACTGATCCACCTCAGAGTTTAAGATCATGGGGGGAGGCCCTGCTCTCAATCCCACCTCCCTCGTAAGTGTAATTGGCGGGGACGAGAGACAGGGCCTTCTCGGTGGCGCCCCCATCTGTGGAACACACTTCTCAGTGAAACTATGTTGGCTCCATGTCTCCTCTAGGAAAAAAGCTCAAATCATGGCTTTGGGACCAGGCATTCAGATAGCAAGATTAGCAGTAAGAATCACAATGATTCATGAGAATTGATAATGGACAGGCCTTGGACTGGGACTCTGGGTGCTGAAATGGATCTGGATATGGTTATACTGTTGTTAATAATGTTTTAATTGATATTTTAATGTTTTAACCGGTTTAATTTGTGGTATATTGCTTTTGATTGTATGTGATGGCATCAAATTCTTGCTGGTTGTAAGCTGCCCTGAGTCCCCCCCCCCGGGGGGGGGGAGAGGTTGAGAAGGATGGGATATAAATATTTGAAATACATAATAATAACAACATCATGCTGGCTATGCTAATAATACTATGCATCAGAAGAAGAGGAGGAGGAGGAGGCGGAAGAGGAGAAGGAAGAGGAACTTCAACTATATTCTTATATCCTGCCACCCTCTCCCTGAAGGGACTCAGGGTGGCTTACCTGGGGACCAGGCCCAGTCAACAAATTTTATTTATTTATTTATTTGTTTATTATTTACTGCATTTGCATACCACCTTTCTCAGCCTGCAGGCGACTCAAGGTGGTTTACAGGCAACAATTCAATGCATGCAATATCAAAAATACAATTAAAAACATTAATACATAATATAAAACCACAACAAATCAATAAAACAAAAATCATCAGCATCTCCTTTTTTAAACATTGTCCAGTCCATCGTCTAGTCGTTTCATTTTCCTATGTCGGTTACTGTGCATTTGCAAATGCTTGCTCAAAAAGCCGCGTCTTGACTTTTTCCCGAAATGTTAAAAGGGAGAGGGCTGGCCCGTAGCCAGGATTTTGATTGGGGGGGGGGGGGGGGGGCTGAGTTTGTTTGGGGGGGGCTGAGTCTGAGTGAAAGAGGGTCTACCCTAGCAAACCTTTTGTATCGTTACCCCAATACCCCCATGCATATGGGATATATTGAGTATGGTGATCAGATCATGGTATGAATAAACATAACAGTTTAAATAATGCACCAGTAAAGTCTTCTCGCGGACCACCATGAGAATTTCAGGGTAATATGGCTAAAGCCCCCCCCCCCCCCCGCGCTACATGCCTGGGCCGATCTGATATCCCTAGGGAGGGCGTTCCATAGCCGAGGGGCCACCACTGAGAAGGCCCTGGCTCTCGTCCCCGGCAGACGTACTTATATAGCACAATAAAATACATTGCATCACAATAAATTAAAACAAAAATCATACAAGACATCATAAAAACATCAGCAACCAACAACCAGTAGCTGAGCACAAGGGGGCAGGGCAAGGGCTTGTGCAATACAAGGGGAAAAACCAGATAATTAAATGAGGGCTAGAAGGGACACGTCAATTGAGGAACCGAGTAATCAAAGGAACACTGGATCATCTAATTTTCAGGTCTTTACAGAAGGTGAACTGGGTGGGTGCAAATCTAATCTCCCTGAGTCTGAAACTGCATTATATGGCAGTGTAGATGGGGCCTACACCAGGACAGAGGCAAGCCACATCGACTCATCGGTTCCCGACCTTTGGACCTCCAGGTGTGTGGGGCTTCCACGGTTGGGAACAGTCGTCCACCGAATGAAGGCCTTGTGGTCATGCCCAGTGCAGACTCTGAAGGGGAATGAATGCACCAGGGAGCAGAGAGCGCGGCTTACCCAGCTTGGCGGCCGCTTTCTCTAGCACGGCCTGCAGCTTCTCCCGGCTCCTGCCGGCCACGGCCCAGCGCAGCGAGCCGCGCGCCTCCTCCTCCTCGGCGGCCACTCTTGCCACCTCCTGGACCACGTACTGCCCGGTGAAGCCCGAGGCCCCGAAGACCACCATCTCGAAAGGCCGCCCCGTCGCCATGGCAACGCCAAAAGAAGGACCCGTCCGCGCGCTGAGAAGAGGCAGGCCTGAGTCCCCGCGGCACTGCTGCGCAACGGCCCGCGCGCCTCAACGGCACTCGAGCGCGGGAGGGGCCAGGGGGCGGGGCCTGACCCCGCCTCGCGCCAGCCTCGGCCGGCCCACGTGACCCACAAGCCCCTCCCCCTCATTGTTGACAGGGCTCTCTCAGAGAAAGCCAGGAAGCGAGGAGGAGCTCGAGGCCTCCTTGAAAGAGAGAAGCCATGTTTATATTACGGTATTGACAGGCTCGCTGTCCCTCCTTCCCTGAAGTGTTTGAGGCCAGGAGTGTTTTGACATTTGGGAGGAGAGATACATAATGGACGTGAGTGAGGCCCATTTGGGAGTTGTAGTTGCTGGGATTTATAGTTCACCTACAATCAAAGAGCATTCTGAACTTCACCAATGATGGAATTGAACCAAACTTGGCACACAGGACTCCCGTGACCCAACAGAAAATACTAGCAATATTTGGTGGGCATTGACCTTGTGTTTGGGAGTTGTAGTTCATCTACATGCAGAGAGCACTGTGGACTCAAACAATAATGGATCTGGACCAAACTTGCCACAAATATTCCATATGCCCAAATATGCACACAGATGGAGTTTGAGGGAAATAGACCTTGGCATTTGGGAGTTGTAGTTACTGGGATTTGTAGTTCACCAACAATCAAAGAGCATTCTGAATGAACCCCACGAATGACAGAACTGGGGCAAACTTCCCAGCACCCCCATGACCAACAGAAAATACTTAAGGCCACCCAGTCCAACTACCTTCACCAGGGCAAGAAAACAGCGAGCCATCCAGCCATAGATATAGATATATATGATTCACACACAGAGAGATAAAGTATCATAGATTTGAAAGGGACTCCTAAAGATGGACAATTATATGTTGCATGTTCCAGAGAAGGCAAACCAGACAATCTCTACGTCAACACTGTCAAAGAAACATCAAGAAATGCTGTTACCCACAAGCAGAAAGACATTACATAGATTAGAAACCAACACTTTCTAATTACTTTATTTTCCATATCACCAGACTGGGCCACAGCAACGTGTGGCAGGGGACTGCTAGTAATAATAATAAAACTTTATTTACACCCCGCCACCATCTCCCCAAGGGACTCTGAGCGGCTTAAATGAGGCCAAGCCCAACAACACATCAAAAACAACAAGCAGTAATAAAATAACAAGCAATAAGCAAAATAAACAATACAATTAATATAACTCACAATAAACACAAGAATTTAAAAACCTATGACTGGACCAAATGTAATAGTTAAAACTTTAAAGCTTTTGCAACCCGAAAGACAGTTGCATATGTCAAGTAGGAAAATAAGGTACCACCTTAAAGTGTAGGGAGGCTAAATTAACTGATTTATGAGGCCATAAAGAAGACTCCAGCAAAGCATTCCAGAAGGGAAGCATGTGGGGAATGCGGAAGTGCTTTATCAGCGTCACAGATGGATGATGAAAGCGACAGCTCCCCTGGCAGCCAGAAAAAGTTAAATAGCCTCGTGTATGTCTGTATATGTTTGTATGTCAAAAATTGGCATTGAATGTTTGCCATATATGTGTACACTGTAATCCGCCCTGAGTTCCCTGCGGGGTGAGAAGGGTGGAATATAAAAGCTGTAAATAAGCAGGTCGCAGGTTCGAGTCCGTGGAGAGGCGAATGAGCTCCCTCTATCAGCTCCAGTTCCTCATGCGGGGACATGAGAGAAGCTTCCCACAAGGATGATAAAACATCAAAATCATCCGGGCGTCCCCTGAGCAACATCCTTGCAGACGGCCAATTCTCTCACAACAGGATGCTCCTGACATGACAAAAAGAAAAAATAAATAAATTTATAAATAAATGCTGGACATGAACAGAGGATGTCTCTATTTGGAGGGTTTTAAATCAAAAGTAAAGAGCAACCCAGCGGGTAATTAAAGTGCTTCTCAGAATATTTGCAGGGGATTGTTTCCTTTATTCAGGGAAGGCACACTGGAACAGCCACGTTTTCAGGCTCCTCCTAAAGACTGCCAATGTGAGGGCTTGTCTGATATCCTTGGGGAGTGAGTTCCAGAGTCGAGGGGCAACCATGGAGAAGGCCCTCTCCCTCGTCCCCACCAATCACGCCTGCGAGGGAGGTAGGAGCGAGAGCAGGGCCTCCCCAGATGAATGGAGAGATCGTGTGGGTTCGTACACAGAAATGCGGTCACGCAGGTAGGCGGGTCCCAAACCATTCAGGGCTTTGTAGGTCAGAATCTGCACCTTTAATTGAGATCGGAAAATGAATGGCAGCCCTTAAACAGGGGGGTTGACCGCTCCCTGTAAGTCACACGAGTAAGTAACCTGGCTGCTGCCCACTGGACCAATCGAAATTTCTGAGCCGTCTTCAAGGGCAGCCCCACGTAGAGTGTATTACAGTAATCCAATCTGGAGGTGACTAAGGCATGGACCACCCTGCCAGATCAGACTGCACAAGGTACGGTCGCAGCTGGCGCATGAGTGTACACTGAACCATCTCCTATCTTCTATATAAATAAAAATGTAATGTTCATTTGTGGGATTAGCAGAACTCAAAAATCACTGGACGAATTGACAGCAGATTTGGACACAATACACCTATCAGGCCAATGAGTGACCATCACATATAAAAAAGCTGAAAAACACAGCCGAAGAGACTTAAAAAGCCAAAAAATGAAAAATATGTTATAACGCATGCACAAAACCACATATATACACACATACACATATATATACATACACAAAACACATACACAGGCTGGACCACAGCAACACGTGGCAGGGGACAGCTAGTATATAAATAAAAATGTAATGTTCGTTTGTGGGATTAACATAACTCAAAAACCACTGGACGAATTGACACCAGATTTGGACACAAGAAACCTATCAGGCCAACAAGTGACCCTCATTCATAAAAACACTGAAAACATAGCAGATAAGACTTAAAAAACAAAAAAAAAACAAAAAATACATTACAACTCATGCACAAACACACATATATCGACATACCTATACACATATATACTTACACAAAACACATTTACACAGACAGGGCCACAGCAATGTGTGACAGGAGAAGGCTAGTCACAAAAGTAAAAGTCACAAGCTCAGCCACCCAAGAGGACAATTTTGGAATTCCTGGTCAGGAATAAAGGACCTGTGTGTGTATATTTATTCACTGCCTCCTTCTTTTTTGTCTGTTAGTGAGTCAGGCCCTTCACATCACCAGTCTCAGTTTACACTGTTACACTGTTTATTACACTGTTTAGCCGGTATTACACCACCTGACATCCACCGGGAAGTAGTAGTCAATAGTGAAAGGACCAAGGTAGTGACATGACTGGTCCACCCCCTGTTAGGATATCAGCCAGCATGCCAACGCCTTAAATCAAGAAATAGTTATCTAAGATCTACAGAGATACTCACAGGAACACCTCAGCAAGTGAGAGTCCAAAAGTGGCAGGCTAAAACCCAGAACCCCAATGAGAGACTCCTCCAGGGCACACAGAAGATTGGGGCGACTTGGAAGGCGCTGAACAGATAGAGCTCTGGCACCACGAGAGGCAGAGCCAACCTTAAGAAATGGGGCTATAAAGTGGAGTCCATGATATGTGAGTGTGGAGAAGAGCAAACCACAGACCATCTATTGCAAGGCTGTCTGAGCCCTGGCACATGCACAGTGGAGGACCTTCTTACAGCAACACCAGAGGCACTCCAAGTGGCCAACTACTGGTCAAAGGACATTTAATATAATGCCAAGTTTTTAAAATTTGTTTTTTTTAAATACATTACAATTGCTCCTAATTTGATAAATAAATAAATAAGTAAATAAACACCAGTCTCATACTCCCAGAATTCTAATTTGGCTTTAAAACAATGTTCCTCTTCCCCATGTGTTTGTTTTAAAGGGGAAAAGCAGTCCTTGTTTCCATTGCCATGCTACTGAATTTGAATGGCACAATCACAACAGGATAAATTCTCTGCAGAACATTTGGGGAGAGCAATACAGCCTTCCTGATTGTCAGATGTTGCCCTATATCATTTCTATACAGACAGAGACTATCTCTGCAATACAGTTTAGCAGCATATCTGGTCCAATGTTTCAATTTTAATCAAACTATTCTATGAATGACACGACCAAACCAATTACGTAAATGTTCCCATCATTGAGAAAATGTCTCACACAGACCCCTCACACTCACATCTAACTTACTGATTCATTTTTCTCTAAGTTATTCTCAAGCATGCTATTTGCAAACCCATTATTTCCTGTACACTGATAAACATCAGGGGATTCTATAGTCCTAAAATAATGAAGACACACACTCAGGAAAATTAGTTCAGATTACAAAATTGGTTTTATGACTCCCACAAAGCAGTTTCATCACTTGCATGAAACAGACTGTGATTCTATTGTTACTTGCCTTGCCTAGCAAGACATGGAGCTGGCAGCCCCACCCTGCCCAGAAGGAAAGAAGTTCAGCTTCAAGTGCAAGGGAACATCTTTTTTTTCCTTTTTTTTTTTGCTAAGGGAAGAGAAAGGAGACATGTCTTGAAAATACGGGCTATCCACATCATGCGCCCTGTATGTTTCACACAGCTATGTCTCCCAGTGTGTCTCAAACCCCTCCATTTTGTAAACATCCCTCTGTCTCAACATAGCCATTTCTTTAGCCCCATCTACACTATCTTGTTGTGATTGTGCCATTCAAATTCAGTAGCATGGCAATGGAAACAAGGACTGCTTTTCCCCTTTAAAACAAACACATGGGGAAGAGGAACATTGTTTTAAAGCCAAATTAGAATTCTGGAGTATGTTTTAGGCTTAAAAAAACCCAAATAGATGGTACTATACCTCTTGTGGTCAGGGAGAGTTAGGATCTACATCTCCTAAACTTGGCTTCCAGAAGAAGGACAATGCTCTTATACTGGCCCAGAGCATGGGTAGAGATAAGAAAGATTATCTATCAACTATGTCTTTTGAGACCCGCAATCCTCTAGATCAGAGGGACATAAATAAGCTCAATACAACAACTAACTGTCAGACAGTATCAAATCTC